ACTTAAATGTCAATAACTCAAACAGCGTTCATCACAGAGTTTCGCAACTTGATCAGGAAGATCTTTTGTCTTTGAAAATAATGTCTACCCCTCAGAATGACCTCTAACATAAGCAGCAGCGATTTCCGAAAAATGACCTTGAATGACCTTGTCCTTGAAACATAAAAAATGAATGTCCCCCAAACTCACTATATTCGATTCCCAGGTCAAAGGTATGTCTGGTTGCAAAGTTATTGGCGTTCAACATCTTACTAAGTAGCTGAATAGCCCTGTATATAAATATGTAGATTAATGAACATGAGAAAATTGGAGTTTCGATAAAAACTGAAATGGAAATGTTGAACGAGTTGAACCCTTTTGACAATTTAATCTGAATAATGTGGGATAGTGACAAATGAATAAACAATTTAATTGACATTCGGCAATTCAAATTTTCATATTTCTTTCTGACCAAACACGACATGAAGTGTTACCTTTATCGAGTTTTTCTTGTTGAAAGAATCGAGATTGTATCACTTGTTTTCTCAATCTTTTGACTGTAGCAAGACGGTTGGACTGGGAGTTTTGACTTGTTTCTGCAAATCACTTGTTAAGATATTCATATATCTTGAAATCTTAATTTTTTGCATTTATGCGTTGGAAAATTTATCATATTCGACGTAAAATGTCGGATCTTTTCTAAAAATTTCGCCATCATTCATTTATGAACCAAGCGTAAAAATTCAGTCCAGAAATTATGTCTAAATCATGAAAATAAATCTGTGCTGTTATCCCTATTCTTTTGGTCTTACAAAGCTAATGTCTATCTTTAATCTCTGAACACAGTTGTTATAAAAATCTTGTTGCTAAATAACCCCAACTAGCGTACCAACGATTACGTCTCATCGAAGGCTTTAATCAACATTTTGCAAAAATTTTTATCAACCCTCGATTTTATTGGATTTTACGCGATTTTACCAGAATCATCTTCCATTTTTCTCCATAGATGTGCTGAAACTGTGCCCTTCTTTCCATCAGCAGACAAAAAAAACTAGGCTTTACTTGATGCAAATAATTTATTCTTGACAGAGGTCGTTAGTCTTCTGAGAAAGCTCTCAAGTTCGGCCAAAAACGCAATTGGATTGGACCTTATCCTTAGTGCAGTGGTTTGGTTCGTATGGACCTAAATCAAACATCAATGGTCAGAAAACCATTGATATGTGTCTACATTTGAGCTTTCTTCATCATCTTTTTCCATCATCACCTCTGATGACACGGCAATTGATTGCTCCCCTGGCAGTTCTGGTTTGGACACAACTCCAGATCCAATAGTCGCTATTGCATCTATTACTTACTTGGTGTCTTAATTTTTATGCTTTTGCTGCCGATCCTAACCACATCCATTCACCATACCCTTTCACAAAGACTTTCAAAAGAGTCAATGACTCATTAAAGCATTAAATATAAAAGATTCAAGTCACTGTAGATTTTGTAATAATAAAAAATTTTGAGCTGAGTTTCACCCCTTAACCTTATCTTCCAAAATCGGTTGTTCTTTGCACTTTTTCTCCTAGTCCTCCCACCCAAAATAGTCTTCACTTTTAGGGCCAATAGATACTCCTTGTCGAGCTTTGTGACCTCAGTACTTAAACAATTGTAACTATAACTTATCAGAATCGAAATCCAATCTTTCAGAATAGCTTTGATTAGTTCATCTAATTGCACTAATTTGCGTTTCATTAAGCATTGATTATTAAGATAACTTTTTCGGTATGAACTTCCTAACCTACTATATTCTTTTTACATAGATCAAGCTTATAAAAACACGAAACTCAGGCTTAAAATTTTGCAGTATTGTAAATAAGATTTGTCGATCATTCTCTAAACATTTTATACACTAAAATATTTTGGAAATTAACATGTAAATGATTATTTTATACTCATCCTTTGAATACTGTAAGGAATTTCTAGAGACAATAAACAAATAATTTTCACAATCCATTTCATTTTCCCTTTTTATGTAACATTTATCTCTTATTTACCTGTAAACCTTTTTTGCGTCATTTTTTATCATTATTTTCATTCCCAGCAATCAGAAATAGCAGCAAGAAAAACTGAAAATAATTGCTTTCGAGAGTCAAAATATATATAAAAGTATGAAAAAAAAGTTTTCACTCATAATTATAGTTTCCATGCTTGACTCAACTCATAAGTTTAGACTGCTTCATCAACTTGCCTTTTCTCAAACTCTTTTTTTCTCATCACAGTTTTTTGCACATTACAAGCTCACTGAACTCAGTAAATTAAAGATTGGGAGTGAAAATGATATAAAATGCCGTCCTTGTAAAATGGGTCAATCAAGTTAATAGAGAATGAAAATGGAATTCAAAGCAACCTTTTCTGGCTTTTTTTTTCTTTTCATGGTTAAATGAGCTTTCAAATAATATAATTATAATACAAAGAAATGGCTATTACAGTTGTTTTATTGAGTCAGTAGTTTTATTCAACAAAATAAATCGACTCAACTATCTATCAAAAAACAGTAAAAATAATTACAATATTGACTGGAACCTTAATTTTAAATAAAAATCGTTTTAACTTCATGATTAACATGCAAAGACAAAACAAATTATTCGACAGATTATCTAACTGGTTCATAGCACCAAGCGTCAAGAGCAAATCTCTGGTCCAAAAACAGGCAGAATCTTTGATTGTCCTTTATTCCAATTCTGATGTGTGATCGAATCGTGAAGTTTGATCAACCTTTTGCTGCTATGATATGCATAATGACTGATTGATTCATAGTGAACTTTGGGTCAAGCTCCTGGGAAAGTTGGCATTAAACCTTGACTCAGTATGAGCAAAATGAAATGTTTATTAGGATCAAATCAACTCGAGTCATGAAAGCAGAGCAACAAATACGCTTGTTTAAGATGATTAAGATCTAATCAATCTTTTTCTTCGTCAAAAGCCTAATGACTATTGAACTTTGATTGAGTCAACCTGTCAGACTCGAATCTCCAACTCTATCGAAATAAATATTCATTTCAATTGATCCTCATGAAACAGAAGCATTTTCACTTCACCAAACTATGCAGACATTGAATATTCTCGTACAAATGTAGCTTGCAAACATTAAAGTTCAGTTATCGATTAATCAATTCTTTCATTTATTCCAATGCATCTGTTGATGAAAACTCAACTGGTTGCTCAGGTTGGACAAGGAAATGTTTTCAACGAAATATTGCGAAAAACATTTCATTATTGAAAATGTAATTCAATAATCAATTGAGTTTACACTAGAAATTGAATTGAAATTGCAAATTTCATTTGTTTAATTAGAAAATTTGCCTTTCAAATACTTTATTACTTTCATGATTGCTATTCGTTGCTCACAAACAATTAGATTTGATCAATATCACTGCAAAAGCCTTCCATTAAGTGAATGAAACAATCAAGTTAATGAAAAAAAAGAGGATTAACTGAAAGAGGTTCAACACTTAAATTATTGTCAACGATTGTCTTCAATTGCAAGTAATTTGATGAGTAAACATTTAACGTGAAACAATCTAATTTAATCACTTATTTTTCACTGTAAATACAAATTACTTTTGATTGTGCCCAAAGTAGGAATTAAATTATCTATTAAATGATCAAGAAAATGGTTCAATTGTGAATTGAGTGAAAAAAGTAAAACGCTGCAAAAATGGGAAAATTTACTTCGAAAGTCGAAGAGAAAAAAGGAGAAAAAATTGATGATTTAATCGATAATTTTTCAGGTAACAATTTGATGATTTAAGAAGTAAAAAATTAACCATTAAAAATCAATCTCAAGCTATGAAAGGCATCAATCAAATGAATGAAATGAACATTTGAAAAGTTGTTCTCTACCATCGACCATTGATTAGATCAAGCCATTGAAACATTTCATTGAATGGCAGAAAAGCCTGAAGCAACAATCAGCAAACTGGAAACTCAAAGTTGAACCAAATGGAGTCGAAAGGGTAACAAGAAAAAATTAGACGTTTGGATAAACAAAAGTACGAGTTTTGTTCAATTTAAATGGTAAAAGCTGAATAAACTCTTCAACATTTGCTTGTATCAATGATTTGAAGCAAAAAAAAGGTTAATAGAGTTTCATTTAGTTTATAATCATTTTAGGGATAACTTTTCACTCCCTGATGTTGATCATCTCTTGACTGTTGATGAACAAAAAGGTATCTAATGCAAAATAGTGGAGGCATGCTGCATGAGGCTGACAAAATGCTCCAGGGAAACATTTTTTTCTTCCTCTTCTTTGTGTTTGTCTCTGGTCTTTGCTTCATGTTAAATCACTTTTTGATGGATCAACATTTTCTTGTCCTTTCAACTTATTTTTTTCGTGTTTTTTTCTGTTTTTGATTCAATTTTCATTTCCATTGATGATTCAAGCCTTCAAGAGGCTAAACTCTCGGCGATATTTAAGCTTAATTATGGTAATGATTTTGCTTGAAACATGTTTTTATGTTACCTTTGATTGATTACTTGCTATTGACAACCTTTCAATTTGTCCTCTTTTCACAGGTTCAATCTTGACATTCGTTTTTTCTCATGCAAATTTCGATTAACTCTCTGCTTGAGGTTTTCATGTTCAAAACTGCCAATTTACAGTCAATGCCATCAATGATTCAAAGCTTATTCAATCTTAATCTTAGTGATTTTTTCGTTTCAAAATTGTTCTTTTTCTTTGAGCATTCAGGTTTGGACTCTTGATGTAGTTAATTAATCATTTTCTTGTTCAATGTTTAGTTGATCAAAAAAGTAGTTTAATGAAATGTTACTTTTTGGATTCTGCTTAGTTTGCACTGAATTTACATGAAACTTTAATGACTTCTTACCTGGATTGGTATGCTGTAAGCTGCTTGTATTTTTGTATCCATCAATGATCTGAAAGTAACCTCCAATGCAGTGGGTTCGATGCTGGTTCACTTCACCAACCTTGAATTTGGTGAATCGAATGAAAACTAGCCAATCTTTTCGTTCTGGTTTGATTCGTATTGTGTAGATGCAAGTTATTGGCTGACCTCGATTCAAGTCATTCAGTTTGGGCTCTGATATTGTCTCATAGATATCAACAGTCCGATTACATTTAGATGAGCCTAACAATCATGAAAAAAGTAAACAAATTTTGAATAATTTCCAGCACAACCATATTAACAATTATAATTATAATTCATTCCTCAATGAGATTAAGTTTGTCATTTCATTCCATTTCAATAGACTAAACTCGACTCCTGACTTCGATTTTGCCTGACTCTGTCCACAAAAGTCTTTTTATGTTACACTCTAGTTGGTTATCAAATGAATTTAAATTATTATAAAACATCTGAAGTCAACTGATTGTCTAACTCGATTCAACCCAAAGGTTGTCTGGCAACAGTATGTGATTCAACCTCAACTAATGTCATTACCTTAACCTGAATATTTGATTGATAGTCTATCATGAGTGAACAATGTGACGAAAGTTTCATTCAAATTAAGGTTCTGTTGAAACATTTTCCATTAAACATGCAATTAGAGGAATCTTGTGTTGAACAATTGTAGATGAAGTATTGAGCAAATTGGGTTAAATAGACTTACTTTGTAAACAAGTTACCATTTGCATTTTAAAAATGATCAACATAAATGTTGCCAGATTGTAACATGTTGCTGTTGCTGATGAAGATGATAACATTGGAAACATTGTTGTATTGTTGTCACAATGAGATGTTAATTAATCCATGAAAATAACAAACAAGTGTAATAACAATGAATTTTGACAAGTGAAACACACAAAACACACAAGATTATTATTGACACAAAATTGACATTTGAAGCAAAAAAGATACTAAAGTTGACCCGAAATTCAATAAATGTCGCCACATTAAATATGAATCAACTTGATAAACATCGAGAACATTGAATTTCCAAATCAAAAGATGAAAGTCAACATTTGCAGGAAAAGAGAAAATCCAAATTCTTTGGAAAAGAAAGCTTGAAATATTGATTTCAGTTGGTAAAGATGGTCAACTCTTTAGATTACAATAATGATATAAAAATGATTGTTAATCCAGTGTTAATCAGCAAAAAGGTAAAAAGGTTTGATATGTGAAACCATCGAGAACAGGAATCAGGTTAACACAGTGAAATAACCTTCGAGAAAGGAAAAAAAGCAAAATTGTTCGAATGAAGAAAAGAAGAAAAAAGAAGCTCCCTTTTGTTCCCTCATCTTCATCATCCATTATCATCCTGTCTCCCTTGTTCTCCTCTTTTCTCTCCATTCTCTATCAAATCTTTAAATTCCATGCGTTCAATGGATTACAAGTTATTTTCACTTATCACACTAGTCGACTGGGAGTGATGCTGGTTACTATGGAGATGAAAATGGATGAGACAAGCAAGGAAAGAAAGGAAAGACTGGAAACGATAAATGATAAACATTAAATAATATCTCAAGAAACATGTTTTTATTATCATCTTTATCATCTTTCCTTTTTTTCTTCCTTCATAAGTTTCATTATTATGTTCATCATCAAACTCTTTCACTTCAACTTTTGATTACAATTCATCAGAATAATCAGAGAATTGAATGTTGATTCACTTTTCTGATCAATCAACATTCAATTATCATTTCACTTTGAATCAATCAAAATCATTGCTATTAATTTTCACAACCACTTTTTCCTCTCAAATCATTTCTTCATCTTTGCTAAACTTTTGTTGACAATTAATCTATACATTGAATGAAGTTAACGCATGAATTTTTCGTGCGAAAATTGTGTCTGAATTGAAAAAGTTCAGAGGACAATTTTACCAGACCTGAAAGTCATAATTGGACTAATTGTTAACTGAATGAGAAACTGAATTATTTAGTGGCAGTACAAGTTAACAAATTTTTATTTTTATTTTAGTGGCAGTACAAGTTAACCGAAAATTTTTGCTGACCATGACTTAATCATTCATTAAGACCTTTAAAATGATGCATATTTAATCAAACTTGGGATTTAGTGTGAGCATCAGGATCGATACCGAATATCATGGTACTTTTGTATGATGATGAATCGACAGCTTCAAGTTGAATAGTAGTCTCATTACCATGACCATAAACGTAGGTACCATCATCTTCATTTAGAGTGATACGATTTGAATTCTCTGAATATGGTTCTACTAGTTTGAGTAATTCTGGTAGATCTTCTCGGAAGAAGATTTGGCCAACATATGAGATGGCACTGCGTTCAGTTGTGTTTCGGGGATAAACTTCAATGTGAATATGAGTAGCTCGACCAGCATACCAACCTGGAAGAATAGTGTTGAAGTTTACCAATCCATTTTGGTCAGTTACTTGATAACCTCGAAGGAACCGTTCATCACTGACTGGTTTAGGTCGAGGCTTATTGTAATCTCTACCTTCCTGTGGGGGCCTTAGTCCACGGCCTTCACTGCCTTTTCCAGTTTGCTTCGGTTCATCAAGCCCTCCAAAATCGTGTTCCGTCGAATTTCCAGGACCTTGTGGCCTAGGACCAGGACCAGGACCAATGCTTCGAACACCGGAATACTTACCAATAGCGCTAGCGTGCCAAATATGAACGAACATGTTCTCTAAAGGAGAGCAATCGTTTGAATTGACTAAAGCGATCGTTAGATTATATTTAACACCATTTTGACCATCAGTGATGTCAGATCGTTGAAGATCATCGGGTAGGAAATAAGGGCCTTCGTCATTGAACGGTGAGAGCACACATTGATGTTGATTGGCTTCTCTCTTGTATCGAGCACAGTTGATTACTGTTCGATCATGTTTCAAATATTTACCTGGTCTGTCAGGATCGGCTGCAACAATAACGAGGTAGACACAAAAAACAAAAATACAAGTAATTCTTGACATGATGGTTCAATCTATTATTAATAAGTGAATAAGAAAAACTTTTCAGAAACAATTGAATAAAAGTTATAGATTGGTAAACTGTTGCTTGATTGATAGTTTATATACTCTTTTAGTAAAGAAGCTCGATAGTAGAGCATTTGAGATAACGAGAAGCAAGATAAAATTCTTTTAATTTTCTATGATTAGGAACAATGAAGTTCTATTGTTTTACGATTTTCGCAGCAATAAACTGATAGTGAAATCGTAACAGATCTAGCCGATTCTATTGTTTCTTTTTCTTGAACCGGATCTATTTTATCGTTAATATCGGCATATTTTAGATACTATTTTTAAAGGATGTTTCTCTAAATCAATCATTAATTGTTATTTTGGAGTCGTTTGAGTTTTTCCAAAATTCCAATAGAACACTAGGAAAAAGGAGGAGAAAATAAAGAAAAAATTGATAAAAATTGCCTAAACGAGCCCAGTTCTTATGCTACTAAAAGTCTAACAGGCTGCAACTCTTAACTTTAAAGTCGAAAGGCGAAATTTAAAAATTAAACCTTTTTTAGTTGGATATTTTGAAATTAGTTCAACCTTATTTAGACAAATCTAAATCGGATATTTGTGAACACAATCATTTTTCACTTGAAATAAACATTTTTCATGGTGAAATGATTGGTTGCACTTCAACCAAAACAAAACAAGGTCAAAATGACCGATCAAGTCCCAGACTATTTACTTATACTTAGGTTTGAATCATGGACTATGTAAGTTAATAATTTTGTAAGTTTCATTTTCTTAATCTGAATCTTTATCAAAATAAATCGAAATAAGTCGAAAAAAGGAAAAAATATTCTGATACTTTTGGTTTGACTGCTTTGAGTGGTGCCCAAATGATTACAGTTAATCAATACATTTGTTTCAGGTTGGAAGCAATTTCTTGTTCACAATAATAATGGAGGAAAAATAATTAAGCTGGAAAACCCAAAAGTAGATTTGGTTAATCCTTGTGATTACTTTGAGTACAATAATGTAAAAAGTAGAGGTTGCTGTTGCTCATTGAGAATCCATTTCTTGGTTCATCTTCAAATGGATATTAACTGTTGTTGTCCTTTTCATCCTTTCCTTTGCTTTCCTTTTGCTTTCCCATTATTGTTATTACTGGAAAATGGTGATTCTCATGATTGTTTCCATTATTTTAACCATCTGAGATGAGTAACAAACGGAACTCTTAGAAACCTAAACCAACAATCGTTGCTTATTGTTCCATTTGATTTCCTGAAATGAAAATTGTCTTTCCTTTAATGTAACCCAATATCCTTTCTCAATGAATTTATGGACCCATTTCCTTTCAAAAACTTTCATCACAACCATATTCAACTCTTTCATCTCTCTATTATCATTATCAACCTCATCATGTATTGTGTCTCATGTAAGCATATAAATCTGAGTTCATATGCTGATATCAACCATAACTATTCCTCAACAATTATGTTTTACTCTCGACTTGCAACCAAGTCCCAATGTTTCTTTAGCTCTTTTCAAGCTAAGCTCTTACGAGTTTATCCTTGCGACTTTAGCTCTTTAAATTTTGTTAAATTTAGTTTTCAATAGATGGCAATCTAACAACAATACAAAAGTATCGATCACAAGACTATCGAGGACTCTACTGTATGACCTTTAATTTACAGTTTCATTAATTATTATATTTTTAAATATTTTTTTGTTTGTAATTTTAATATGAAATAATTTAGTTTAATTTTCTTACTTTACAAGTGTCAGTTCCACCTTCTTCGTATCCAGCACACATTAAGGAATCTGGAGTCTCATTTTGCAACCATTCAGAACATATTGCATTGGATATCAAAGGAATAATTCCTTCTTTAAGAACATATGGATTTCCAGTTGATTGTTTGATTCAGTACGACGGTTTCTCAAAGATCCAAGGCCATGAATTGGATATCGCAGCGTCTCCAGCAGCAATAGCTATCAAAAAAGGATATGGAAAAACTTCTGACTGTTGAGTTATCAAATTTGGTCTGATGCCACATGAAGTAGTACTATTGTAATGTCCATCGCTACAATTTTCCTCGTCAGTTCCATCTCGACATTCATCTATTCCATTGCATATATTTTCTTTTGGTATACACTCTTCTTCATTGGCACACCTTAGTTGATCTTCTTTACACTTGACTGGAGCCCGATTATGTTCAAAATACAATTTGAAACCTTTATATTGAGGAATGACTCCACTGGGCCTTTTGCCACTGATGAATTTAATGTGCAATTGATTACTCTGAGTCCTAAACTTTCTCCATTTGGTTCCAGTAAAAGTATCAATCAAGTCATCCTCAACCGATTGTCCATCATAAAAGGAAATTCGAGTTTCATCACTCCAATTGTCCAGATCTTGTCTTAGCATTTTCATGTTAATTACATAATTTTTTGGAGCCATCAAAGTCCAAGAGCAATCGGCTCCTTCAGTGTATGGATAAAGTCCATTGTCACTATATTGTGTTTATCGTTTACGAGTTTATCCTTGCGACTTTAGCTCTTTAAATCCAAGTCTTTAACCAGAACTATTGGTCGGCTCGATTAGGTTAAGCTGGTTAAAAGTTAACCAGATTATGGGTAAACTCTTGTAGATATTTGTCTTCACCTTTTAGTTGTCATTTGCCCACTGAAGTGACTATTCATCATTTTTGAATCTAGTCTTGAGTGTTAATTTAGTTGACAAAATTGATTAATTGCCGACATTTGCTACCATCAAAATGACTTCAATTAATTTGATTCTGACCATTTCCTTGATATGCAACTTTATACTTCCAGGTAAGATGATTTATCTCTTTTTTCATTTCAAAGTTAATCGATCATTCAAATCACACTTTCTCTTCTCTTTTTTATTCTAGTTTTGACAATTCAATCAGCCAACAGACAGGGTAATAAACGTTTGGGATCAGATAAAAGAAGGCCTGAACAACTCAGGATAAGTACAAGTTTTGACTTGACAATGGCAAAAGCCTCCCTGAAGGGTAAGTAAATTTACCTTCATTAAAGTTAACTATTGTTTTGTATTGAGCAAGTCTTTAATTTTTACTCTTTTCTTGACTTTTCCAGATTTATCTGATTTTCTTGGTGATATTGCAAGAGGTGTTCTTGAACCTGATACCGCAAACATCAAGGGTAAAGCATATGGACTTAGATGGACTTCAAGTCGTGCTGATCAAACAATTATTTTAAACATTACAATACTCGATAAATTTGCTAGTTTGATTCGCTCAGTTACTGGTCCTAGGCATAGGCTTCCATTAAATTCACAAGTTCTTAAAGATTCAAAGCACACCCAACGTCCAGTTCTTCAGACAATAATTGACTTCATTGAGGAGCAAATCAATCAACATTATTCTCGTAAAATTGGCCAATTTATGGTTAAACAAACTGCCAACTTTGCAAATCTTTACTTTTCATCTGCTGCTCAAGTAATTTCAACTGGACTCTTGACTCTTTCATCTTTGCTTGATGGTAAAGAATAGACAATCAACAACAATAATAGAAACAACAAGTACCAGAATACGTGTATTGTATATATGATAAATTGTAATTAATAAATAAAATTCTGTTGATGAACAACTCTTGAGTAATACCGAGTCAAATTACAAGTAATTACATTTAACAAACCAGCCTGGAATGAGTGGAAACACAGCAAAAGCAAATGGTAAGGTTTTACTTTTACGGAGAAAGGCGTTACAAAATGAACATATGAGAAGAGTCGCTCTAAAACAGATTCTTTGAAAGATTTAAATTCAGAGTCAAATGAATATTCCTGTAGCAGTAAAGTAAGAAAATCACAATTTGTCCCCGATCAATTCAAAAAATCATTGATTTGAAGGTTCTCTTTGATGCTTGGTTTTTTCTGGATAAAAAAGTTTATGAGTCGAGGTAAAATAAATAAAAATAATTGATGTTAATATTTATCCAGGATAAAAAGCTCCTTGGAAGTCAAATTTTTGATAACGAGCCAATTTGCTTTCTCATTTCTAACTGAAGCTGAAGTCTTGTTCAAAGGATGAATCCATTGTCTTATCCGGACTTGGTTGTCGTCGTTTTTTTAAAATTTTAGACAATTCTTCTTCAATTGCGGTTGGAATCCGGTTGGTCACTCTTGACTGTTGAAAATCTTTGGTTGTACCTTGAAGACGTTGACTTAGAGGGGTTCCCCCAAGACTCCTGGCTGTTTTCAGTTGTTTCCTCTTGCTCAGTAATTCGCCACGAGAAGGCCTAGTTTACGTATCATGGTGCATAAAATAAAATAATAGAATCAAATACATTATATTAGCATCAGATTTAATTCAACGATACCTCAGGGTTAAATAGTATATTTTCCATGAAACCAGTTTTTTCCATTTCTCGCAGGATGGTTCCGGTCAGATTTAGGCTAGTGTAACATTTAAATTCACACATACATACATAGTTGTAATTAAACTAAATAACCGAGGTACTTGGTAAAGTAAACTCACTTTTGATTAGGTGGTATTAAACTTTTCTGTAAATGCAACGTGTTGAGGGATTCGGTGGATAGCGTTCTGGGTGTCTGAAAAGGAGTCGAGTCTGGTGTCACTTTTGGAGTCCACAGAGGCGTTCTCATATTAATCATGGAAGACATATTAAACATCGGTGGTGGTGGAGGCGGAGGCGGCGGTGGAGGTGGTACTTTTATATCTTTGATAGATGGTCTGGGTTTAGGAATAGGAACAATTATATCCGATGACTGCCTACGATGCAACTGGAAGCTGAATGGAACTGGATGTTGCGACGGATCATGTTCGCTTTCAGAAGTTGATCCATCAACCTCACATGTTGAATATTTAAGCTTGGCAATCTCTTTCTCCTGAGCTTCACATTTTGCCTCTAAAACAGATTCTTTGAAATATTTATATTCAGAGTCAAATGAATATTCCTGTAGCAGTAAAGTAAGAAAATCACAATTTGGCCCCGATCAATTCAAAAAATCAAAACATGAGAAGAAACACAAACAATGGAAATAAAGATCACCTTGTAATAAATAGATTTGACCAGAGGAAATTAATTAATAATAATAGATAAATTAAATCAAAATAAAGTTCATTACTTAAATTTGATTAATACCGACTTAATTCGGCTTTTTTTGATTGGCCATAAAGTGTGTGATATAAAAAATCTTCTCATATGTTCATTTTGTAACGCCTTTCTTCGTAAAAGTAAAACCTTACCCATTATTTTATGCCTTTCATTAAATGTTGACTGTATCCTGGCTAGTTTTTTGTGCTTTAATATGATACTTGAGACTATCTAATGAATAGGATTTAGTATTTTGAATAATATCTGTCTTAATTTTGACAATTTACCGAGTTGACACTATTAATCATTTAAGACAATCTTTATGATGTTGTCTGCTTATTCAAAGTGTCATATTAATCAATAGCTAATAGATGGCAATAGTGAAACAAAATGTTTCTTTAATTTACCTCGTTTTTGTCTTGGTCATATGAAGGTGGAAATCTCTGGTTGTCAATTAATCTGACCTGTTGATCGATCGGATCACTTCGATTTTCAGTCAAACCTTCTACTTTCTGTGACCGTAAGAGTTAGAGAGCTAAAACTTATTATTAATTGATAAAAATTGTTGCTGAAAATGATGAGTTGAACACTTTTTTCAATTTATCGACAGTTCTCTTGATTTTGGCCATTGGCCTTAAAGTAGAAGGTTTGACTGAAAATCGAAGTGATCTGCTGTACAGAAACAGATAGTTTTATTTCTCAAATAAGATCATTTTATGATTGGCCATCAAAAGTTACATCAGTGAAATAAGTTTCATGAAAAAATTTTGACCCATAATTGAAAAAAAGGCGATCGAAGTTTCAACTTAGACCTCGATTTCCCCGAAAACTGTTGATCTGAAAGAAATTTTAATTTCACGAATGGACTCAGTTTTTATGTCTCTATAAACCCACAAAGTCCCAAATCATTTCTAACAAACCTTATTTTATTTTATCATTTATTTTTGAATTTTATTCGTCTATTTGCCTGATTATTCGCCTTTTTACCGGTATTCGCCTATTTGCCGGGTATTCGCCTTTTACTCCGGTCCAAAGTAAAACCTTACCAAGCAAATAAGCAAGAAGAGATAATTGAAAATGAGTTTTGAAATTAATATGAATGATGTGAGAGATGCTAATCAAAATTCACTCACTTGCTGATGAACAGTGTCGATTTCATGAAAACTCAGAAAATAGAACATCCAATGAGATTTAATTCTGCTTTCATTTTATATATTGTATGCATTAGATTGAACAGATCTAAGGTTTTGAAAAGACTGCTTTTTAGATACAGTCGACTGGCTTGAACCTTTTTTGTGCGGCAATAATTATGAGTCTCAATGGGGATAAAAATTTGAAACTAATGTATTTTAATTCATGATTTCGTGCTTTAGCTTTACCGAAATTTGTTTACCACTATTATTAATAAAACGATTATTTTTGACTGGATTTTGGACTCGACTGCTATCAAAGTTCAGGGCTTAGCTAATGCATAAAAAGCTCCATCTATTGTGAACGGAACAAAATAAAATTAATGTAAAACAGCGCCATCTTGTTGTTCCTTTTGTAAAAGCTTAACCCACAATTTTTATGCATTAACCCAAAACTTACTTTATTATCATGATTGGAATACCATTAAAGGGCAAAAATCAGAATCTAATATAACATAAGATCGAAGTTATGCAAAAAAATTCTGTGTTCATCTGCGTTATTGGTTGAAAATAAGTTTTAGCTTTTTGATTGATTGTAATCAATTTGATTTTCTCGGTATTTTTGGCATTCTAATATTTCGTAGTTTTGTCTTATTTATTATATTTTGGCTGTCTTCAAACCAAACCATAATTTCATTCGTTATTAAAACATTTCTGACTAACTAAAGCTTTAACTGGTTTAGTCAAATTAGGGTAAATTACCATCTTCGGTCTCTAGAATCTAAACAGTCGCAATCAACGGAAAAAAGATTGCCGGATGGTCTTTTGGTTAAATATGAAGAAACTTTAATTTATGAGAAAGAAAGAAAAGTTCATTTGTTCTTTTCAATAGTTTCTTTGATCCAATCTAAATGAGGCTCAACTCGAGTGTAAACACCAGGCTGTCTCACACATCCACAGCAGGGTAACCCATAAGATGCAACACCAACGGCAATCCAACTGTCATTTAACTTCATCATGATTGGTCCACCACTGTCGCCCTGTAAAGCGGAAATAAACTTAATTTTAATACCATAATATTTAAATATTTATGAATAGTACTCGGTACTTTTGTATTTCGAGCTTTATCTATCAGATCGGCAAAGAAACGTCAATGATTTCAATCTTCTGACAATCAATGTGAGCTAAATTTGCTCATCCCCTCTGATTGACTTTCCCCTCAACTTTACAATCCGAGAGCCATTCTGATTGGCCAAAGAATTTAAATTTTCTTAAATTTAGTTTTCAATAGATGGCAATCTAACAACAATACAAAAGTACCAAGCACAAGACTATCGATTACTCAAGTGTATCAACCTTTATTTACAGTTTCATTAATTATCATATTTTTTAATATTTCTGTTTATTTGTTGTAACATGAAATAATTTAGTTTAATTTTCTTACTTTACAAGTGTCAGTTCCACCTTCTTCGTATCCAGCACACATCAAGGAATCTGGAGTCTCATTTTGCAACCATTCAGAACATATTGCATTGGATATCAAAGGAATAACTCCTTCTTTAAGAACATATGGATTTCCAGTTGATTGAACGTCACCCCAACCAATGATGGTCAACATTGTTCCAGGTTCAACCTTAAGCATTTTGTTTGGTAAACAGATAGGTGATATCCACGATTCAACTGGTGAAATGGGTGCATTGAGTTTGACCAAAGCTAAATCTCCTGTTTTTGTGGCTCTATCAAACTTTGGATGAGAAATGATTTTGATGAGATACCGAGTTATTTCCTTTTCATCATGAATTAAACTTCGATGTTTACCAAGCGCGATTGTATAAGCTTTAGGATCTGGGTCTGATAAGAAACAATGAGCTGCTGTTAAAACCCATTGATTGCCTATCAAAGATCCACCACAATAGTGTCCCGATGGCTCAGTTCGACGGTTTCTCAAAGATACCATCCAAGGCCATGAATTTGGTATCGCAGCGTCACCAGCAGCAATAGCCATCAAAAAAGGATATGGAAAAACCTCTGACTGTTGAGTTATCAAATTTGGTCTGATGCCACATGAAGTAGTACTATTGTAATGTCCATCGCTACAATTTTCCTCGTCAGTTCCATCTCGACATTCATCGATTCCATTGCATATATTTTCTTTTGGTATGCACTCTTCTTCATTGGCGCACCTTAGTTGATCTTCTTTACACTTGACTGGAGCTCGATTATGTTCAAAATACAATTTGAAACCTTTATATTGAGGAATCACTCCACTGGGCCTTTTGCCACTGATGAATTTAATGTGCAATTGATTACTCTGAGTCCTAAACTTTCTCCATTTGGTTCCAGTGAAAGTATCAATCAAGTCATCCTCAACCGATTGTCCATCATAAAAGGAAATTCGAGTTTCATCACTCCAATTGTCCAGATCTTGTGTTAGCATTTTCATGTTAATTACATAATTTTTTGGAGCCACCAAAGTCCAAGAGCAATCGGATCCTTCAGGATATGGATAAAGTCCATTGTCACTATATTGTGGTGAAACAATGTAACCATAAGGCTTGGTGATGATAAGTGGCCTTTGAAATGGTTTACACGCGGAAAGGTCATCTATTGTCGGAATGGCACCTAAATCAGAGAAAAGGGAAATTGATAATTATTGTGCTCATTTTACATCCGCGGTACTCAAACATTTTCATCATACTTAAATGGTATATCACAATGGCTTACTTATTAGGTAATTAATGAGTGAATCAAAGGGTAAATCACAGAATTTACGGAAGTGATAATTGGAAATGGCTGTAATGATTATGATCAAATGTTACATTTGATTCAAACTATACTCAAATGAACTTCACTCTTTGATGCTGATTCCTGTATTGCTCAACTTATTGCTTCAAATAGTTAAAATCATTGGTTATAATCATTGGGTAACATTCAATCGATGAAAATATTTTTCCCACCAATTCAAGAGTAGAAAAAATTTGAGCACATGGACAGACCACATGAAACTCTTGATATGTAATTTGTTGGATTACCTTCTGGTTCCGTTGAAATGGACTTGAATATTGATAGGACTAGCAACCAAATCAAATTGGACCATTGAGACATGATCGAAATAGTAAAAGTGGACTCGAAGAACCAATCCAACTGGCAATGTCAAGTAAAAAATCGTAGAAAAGTGTAAACTAATTGATCCAATGAATGAGATCAGAGAAACAGTTTCTAACAAAAGTATCTACATAAGATGAAATATACGTATTATGACGATGAATGGCAAATTTTCACCAATGGATACACGAGTTTAAACTATCACAATAGCCAATAAATTATCAAGTCACAACCATTTGTTCAATATATGCAAGCAATCGGAAGAAACGTAAATGAATGAACAAAAAAAAGGAGAGAGAAAAAAAAGAAAGCAAGATCAATGATTAAAGGATTGAGAGACACGCACAATTAATTGACAAAGGTAAGTTCCATTGTAATGAACTTGAAATAATAATGACACAAATGAATGAACATTAATCAATTTGTTTACTGTATTTTAGGAGACACATTTTTTTTTGGTTAACAGGTTTCTGTTATAAACTCACACTGGAACAATGTTTGGTGGTTTCGTTGAATTGATTATATTGATGATTGAAATCATTTGATTCACATTGGCAATGAAGATAATCAACATGAGATCTGAACATTTACACACTCAATTTAGGCATATAAGCTGACTGGATCAATGAGAGAAAACAAAAGATGACGAAAATGAAAAGTGAGCATCGCAAAGTGAATCAAACGAGGGAGTAAATGAATGAATGGAGGACAATTGATTTATCAGTTATTCTTACTGATTTGCTTTCTCTATCAATACAACAATATCATTTAAATCACACCTTAATACTGGTTAATAAGTTTTGCCTTCTGAATCTCATCCAGATTGCCATCTAACTACATTAGTAATACATTATCTAATAGCTATTTATTTGATGAGGTTAAGATTTTCGCTGATTCACTCTGACAATTTATTCTAATACAATTTATTCCATTTCTTTTGATAACAATATTTCAATATTCAATTGATGATATTTTCTCGAAATTATGATCCTGTAACCTTTGTAAAATGTTGACTACAATCAAAATGGCTCTTAGCAACAGATAAGATTATTATTTACCCTTAAAACAGTGTTTTTTTTATTTCACCAGATAATTTGGTGATTCTCGTCAGTTTGATCATTGATCATTAATCGATACAAAACAAAAAATGTAACTTTACATTACAAGTTTGTTAAAACAATTGATTTTCATGACAATTGACATAAAGTTGATTGAACTTACCTTTCATTTAAGTGTCATATTAATTCACTTTCACAGACTTTCATTGTCTGGATATTTCAATTAGCATTTGCACCCATTGTATTATAAATAACTTCAATTCATTGAATCACTTTCCTAATAAATAATTTAACGCTTAAATGATAACAATAATCAAGGACTAGGTCATTGTATTCCATATATGTACAGTCGATCATAATTTGTTTCATTTTTCATGACTTAACTTTTCCAACATTTCATCATTTAACCATTAAGCAATTATAAAAAGTGATATTTCTCTACAAAACGGAAATCTTTGACACAAAAAGTTCAACTCAGGTTCAAGCTGAACTCAAACTTGCCATCATTGTCCAAATTTAGATGAGAATCTCTGATTCTTCATCGATTTTTCCAACTTTGTCTCCATTGAGAAAAGGCTTTTTCATAAATTTATGAAATAAAAGAAATATCAAATGTTTTCTCAGATATTATTCTCAGACTTGGTTTCAATTTACCTAAATTTGTTGTTTTTATAAATTTTTAATGACGGATTTAAATATTCTTCCGACTTGATGAGTTGATGTGCCAAAATTGAAGCTCAAAACAATAGCTAGACTTGCACTATTTGTGTTTGTCAACAGTTTATGTGAAGCTGAAAAAAAAGATGAAATCTGTTTAACTTATTCGGATCTTTTCCTATTCTTGAAATTTAACCATTTTCAAAGGTTGAAAGCTTCTTTTCTGTTTACAAAAATGTTCAACACTGGGCTTAGTAAATCATTTACCATGAAAATAGAATATTTAGAACAAGAAGAAAATTGTTGACCATGACCTTGTCATCTATGTTTCTGTCCAAGAGTAACTTCTTCATTCAGAAGAGTTTCCAACAGAATCACTGTTAATCAAAGTGATGGCAAAAAAGATGCCAATAAAGTGAACATTGAAATCTCCATCTAATATAATAATCAAATGTTTAACTTAAAGAGACAATTTGTATTCTAAAAAACTCATTTTTTTCCAATAAAATGATCTTTCCATTTGTGATTGGGTTATTAGTGTTTTTGCCCAATTTCAATAGTGTCCGTTGGGGTCCTGCAAGTAACGAGACTCTTTTCCAGTCCATCCAAAGTCCGGTAAATCTGAGTAAGACAACCTTTACTCCAGCCAGACAGATTGTCAATGTCAATTTGGATAGCTTTTTAGACGGTAAAGTGCAACCTGTGCGAGCCAAAAATCAAACCTTTCAATCAATTCGTGATATAATCAATCTTGACCAAGAATATCCTGAAGACAAATATGATTACAATGATAAACCAATAACTGGAATAGACAGTGATGGCAATTTGAGTGTCAACTTCAACAAATTGTTAAACAACAGTAAACTCAATGAAATGAACGAGATTAATGGATTGATTGCAAGTTCATCAACACCTTCACCCTCAACAACCCAACAACCAAGTCAATCCCCTTTGGCTTTACCCCAAGTATCAGAGTATGGACATTATCCAAACAAGCCTTCCTTACAAGACTGTCCACGCATTCCAAGTCCTACCTTGACCCCATCTCTACCCGGTAGACCCAGATATGTGAAGATTGAATGGCGAAAAATGATTCTACCGCCAACCGCAACAAACCCAACTATAACCCAATCATCCTCATCGTCACCCTCAACAACCTCCATGAGTTCAACGACAAACCCAAGTTCACATAAATTGCAACTTGTTATACCCAATGACTTTACTCCCTTTTATTATCGTAAACTGGTCGACTATGGACCTTCAACTCAACCCCATCCACCTCTAATGCCTGTCAACCATCTTCACCATTCACCATTGGCTCCACCGGTGGTAAAGAGAAACAAGAAACCGAATCAAATGAAAATCCCAAAAGTGTTTGCCAGTTTGATGAGAAGTAAAAAGAAACGTGCCAAAACGAAAAGACCCGGTTACATTTATATACCCAATACTTTACCTACGGCCGCTTATCCACCGCCTTATTATTATGGTCCCGTGGCTTTACCTGAAAGGGAACCTTGGCCTGTTGAATCGATAGTCAAGTATGCTCGAACCATCAACAACTCTAGCGATTCAACGAGGAAAACTATCAACTGAGTTTCCAATTTTGCTTTTGTCAAAACACTTTCAACTTAAGTTGCAATCAATTTCTTGTTATTAATCTTGTTAATAATCTGTTAATCAATTGGTTCAACTGAAATTGTGTTTTTTAGTTTAATTTTGTTTCTACTGCTTCATTTCAAAGCTTGCTTTTTTAAATTGACTCGATTTTTCTTACAATTAAAATAATTTCCAATGTTTGGATTACCAGTTTAATTATAACCAATTTGAATCATTTTTACATTAGAATTGATTAGGCCTTGTATTTTTAAAATTGAAAATCTTTTTCTTGTCATTAGATCTGCTTTTTACTTGGAAATCCATCAATAATTTGAACAATCAGCAATTAAGTAGCAACCTATTTTTGATTTGCTTAAGTCAAGAGTTGTATTTAAATTTGCATTATGAAAAAGGAAGACGATTCAACTTGATTTTGTTGACAGCAAAATTTGAAGGACAAAACTATTCGACTTTTTGGAAAGGAGTCAGAATGTTGAACTAACATTATTATCACCGTCAACAAACAAACAGCTTGAAATGATTAAGGGAACAGCAATCAATACATCACTAAACTAGACTAAAAGACCAATTTTTACTGGCAAAACGAAATAATAACCAGAAAACGCGAAACATTATAAAAATGGCAAAAATTCAAAGTGATGAGACAATTTGGAGTAAATGGTGAATTGCAAGAAATTTATGATTTCTAAAATCTATTCTTACAATAGCAATCAATGAAAAACATTATGCATTTGTGAAAACAATTTACAAAGTATAGTTACAGATTGTGTTGCTCTTTACATAATATTGAATAAAAAAATTGAGATCAACAGATTGATTACAATATTATTGGGTTAGTTGTATTAAAATAGACATAAACATAACATAAAATAAAGGCACATTATTGAGTTGATAAATTGGTTTGTACAAACTCATCTAATTTAAGTTCACATTGAAAGGTTCCATTAATTAGAGTTGCAGTGATAGTTGAGATGAAAGAATCAACAGAATGAGAAATGAGCAAGATTTACAAGATTCATTTGAATCGAGATGCTGGTGAAGATGAAAAGGATCATGTTAAATGTTAACTAGATTGGTTCGATTCTAAATTTGGTTCAAGGAAAATTTTGGAAACTCTTTTTCTCTTCTTTCTACCATCTTCCCTGCTCCTGCCATTTTCCTTCGTCTTCTCCTTCGTTTGCCTTCTTACTTTGTACTCTTTTTTTGCACCAGCAAAATGTTTCACAGTATTCGATGAATTTACTTGTTCCTCATCAAATCATCTTGATGCAAATATCCAATTGAACGTGGATTGTCCTAATTCAAATTGATTGTGCATCTATTGATCAATATCACCCGAGTGGTTGGATAGTTTCTTGTGTAGCTTTTTTTATACTCCATTGTCCAATAATTGTGTCCATCTTGACAGTTACAATGGGATCAACATCAGTAACGTTAACGCAACCACCAACATCTACTTCCAAAATTATTGACACCAAAGAGGAGGCTTTGGCCAAGATAACAACATTTCTCAAAATTTTTTCCTTTTACAAGTTAGTTATGTTAACTCTTGTCGCCGTTTACTGTTTAATTGATGATCAGAAAATCATTGCAACTTTAGCCATTGTTTCCCTTTTCTGCCACATTCTTTATGCTAAAGGGTTACAAGAAAGATGGATTATCATTCTAAGGTTGTATCAGGTTTTTTATCTTATATTTGCCACTTTGATGACCACCTTAGTAATTATTGATACGCTTAAATTGATCCGTGGTGTTCCTGTCCGTTATATACGTTTCTTTTTCTGGGTATGCTTGGTTTTGCCAACATTGCCATCAATTTACATCATCAACCAATTGATTAATCTTCTCTATGCGATTGCTGCATCCACCAAGAATGTAATTTCAGTAGTTTCACCAAGTTGAACGTTACCATCATCATTATATTTACCATCTTAAACTTGTTGATCTATTTAATTATTATCCTTTTGTTTTAAAAGTAACAATATTAAAAAAAACTGTTCACTGTTATTGGCAACTGTGTCTTAACCTTTTTCCCTCATTTTGATTTGAAGGTTCTCTTTGATGCTTGGTTTTTTCTGGATAAAAAAGTTTATGAGTCGAGGTAAAATAAATAAAAATAATTGATGTTAATATTTATCCAGGATAAAAAGCTCCTTGGAAGTCAAATTTTTGATAACGAGCCAATTTGCTTTCTCATTTCTAACTGAAGCTGAAGTCTTGTTCAAAGGATGAATCCATTGTCTTATCCGGACTTGGTTGTCGTCGTTTTTTTAAAATTTTAGACAATTCTTCTTCAATTGCGGTTGGAATCCGGTTGGTCACTCTTGACTGTTGAAAATCTTTGGTTGTACCTTGAAGACGTTGACTTAGAGGGGTTCCCCCAGGACTCCTGGCTGTTTTCAGTTGTTTCCTCTTGCTCAGTAATTCGCCACGAGAAGGCCTAGTTTACGTATCATGGTGCATAAAATAAAATAATAGAATCAAATACATTATATTAGCATCAGATTTAATTCAACGATACCTCAGGGTTAAATAGTATATTTTCCATGAAACCAGTTTTTTCCATTTCTCGCAGGATGGTTCCGGTCAGATTTAGGCTAGTGTAACATTTAAATTCACACATACATACATAGTTGTAATTAAACTAAATAACCGAGGTACTTGGTAAAGTAAACTCACTTTTGATTAGGTGGTATTAAACTTTTCTGTAAATGCAACGTGTTGAGGGACTCGGTGGATAGCGTTCTGGGTGTCTGAAAAGGAGTCGAGTCTGGTGTCACTTTTGGAGTCCACAGAGGCGTTCTCATATTAATCATGGAAGACATATTAAACATCGGTGGTGGTGGAGGCGGAGGCGGCGGTGGAGGTGGTACTTTTATATCTTTGATAGATGGTCTGGGTTTAGGAATAGGAACAATTATATCCGATGACTGCCTTCGATGTAACTGGAAGCTGTATGGAGCTGGATTTTGAAACGGATCATGCTCGCTTTCAGAAGTTGATCCATCAACCTCACATGTTGAACATTTAAGCTTGGCAATCTCTTTCTCCTGAGCTTCACATTTTGCCTCTAATTTTTCAAGTCGCTCTAAAACAGATTCTTTGAAATATTTATATTCAGAGTCAAATGAATATTCCTGTAGCAGTAAAGTAAGAAAATCACAATTTGTCCCCGATCAATTCAAAAAATCAAAACATGAGAAGAAACACAAACAATGGAAATAAAGATCACCTTGTAATAAATAGATTTGACCAGAGGAAATTTTGTAAACACAAATTGTATCAGTTTTGCTATGATGGCACTTAATATGAAAACTAAAAACTGAAAACATGAGCGAATCATGATGGTTTGACCAGATCGATCAACAGGTCAGATTAATTGACAACCAGAGATTTCCACCTTCATATGACCAAGACAAAAACGAGGTAAATTAAAGAAACATTTTGTTTCACTATTGCCATCTATTAGTGTCAAATAGCTATTGATTTATATGACACTTTGAATAAGCAGACAACATCATAAAGATTGTCTTAAATGATTAATAGTGTCAACGCGGTAAACTGTCAAAATTAAGACAGATATTGTTCAAAATACTAAATCCTATTCATTAGATAGTCTCAAGTATCTTATTAAAGCACAAAAAACTAACCAGGATACAGTCAACATTTAATGAAAGGCATAAAATAATGTACAATGTATTGTAAAAGTTCAATTTTTCTGTCTTTTACGTTTTTTCTTTCTTTTACTGTCTATTTTATACTCTTTTTTATCAGCATTTCCCGAGTTTCAGGGTTGGTTTTAAAAATTTGTATATTTTGAGGCGACATTCAGGCCAGGACCTTTTGTTTGCGATTAACAGAAAATTGGAAGACCGGTTGAGCGCGGAGAAATTTTTGACAAAAAATTACCAAAATGGTAATGATATTATTGGATGGATATTATGGATTACCATTAGACAAATGTATTTTTTAAGGTAAATTAATTGATCAAAATTAAATGCTATTCTTTACATAAGTTGTTGGTTTTCACTTAAAGTGGTAAAATAGTTGGACATGGACTAGAAATTGGTAGGCATCTTTGTTCGGGTTAATCACTCAACTAAGTCAAAGTTATTCCATTCTGATTTACGTTGAAAATTTTGCGCTTTTCATCTGTGAGTTATCGTTTCAGGGAATGATGATTGCATTCAATTTTCGGACTTTGCATTGAAAGGTTAAAGATGTGAATGCAAGAAAGAAAGTAAGGATTGAAGGGAAGGATTGGAGGATACAAAAAGATTGGTACAATTTTACAATGAAAATGGATTAATAGGGATAATCTGTTGAATCTAACAGATAAATTTCTGCTCTTGGTTTTTCTGGTACATTCATGGTAAACCAGATTATCAGGTTAACCTTTTCTTTCCGTCAGCCTTTAAATTGCTCTCAATCCTTTCTTTGTTTGGACATTTACTCTTTTGTTTTGGCAGTCAATAAGTAGTTATCTGATGGTGACCTTTTGGAAGAACTTTATTCATTTTTGTTCATTTTGTGGTGGCCAATGAATGGGATGAAATGAGGAAGATAATTCAGTCAATTTAAGGAAAAGGAAAACAGGAGAAAGGTGAGAATGTTTCATGTCCAAATCACAACCATGACATCTGACATCTGACATTGGCATTGGTAATGAAGATGATGATTGAATCCGATTCCAATTTATAATTAACTAAATAATTTAAACAGCCGAGTATTGGAGGTCGAATGAAGAGAAAAATTCCAGGAAAAGTTACCAAATAAGAATTGTCAGGTTAATCAGATTTTCTTTTTTCAATTATTTTCGTTAAGTATTTTAACGTTTTCGGTGGTTGGATATGAAAAGTGTCTTCTCTCCAAATGATAAATGAAGCCTCATTTTTAGGAAAGTTGAATGATTGGGGAATCTTTCAAATCCAGGATATATTAATGATGATGTGATGATAATGATAATCTTAATGCCTTCAATTACATAATCAATTTAAACATTTACAGGCGATGTGTTGGTTAATGGGACATTTGCTTCGTGTGTGTAAGTCAAAAGGGTTGCTTTCGATCTTCGAGAACGGCATTTCACAATGATAACAACAAACAATACCAAAACAACAACTGCAAGAACCAACAAACTTATTGGAACAACGACATCTGAAAGAAAATAAAGCAAGAAATGAACAATTAATAATCGGATTTACGTGTAAATCAATTAAAGATAAAAATAGTTAATTGATCGGTGAAATGAAGTAAATGGCAGCTCTTTAATGTCAAGGCAAATTTCAGATAAATCATTTTATCCCGAACCTTGTCTTCGGAATGTAAAGGTAATTTTCCCCTCTCATGTGATACACTCTAAGAGGATATTTTGATTCGTTTGATATTATGATAGAAATAATCTTTTCCTAGAAATTGCACTTCGATTTGCAAGTTTTACTAAACTTGAAATTCTAATTTTCTGAATAATCCTGGACTCAACAACATTGAGGGAAAAATTTAAATCTAACAGAATCAATAACATAACTTAATCGGAAATCGAGTGATGATTGGTTTAATTAGGTTAACGGCAAACTCAACTGACAAGGTTGAATGTGATTTTCAAGTACAAAATCAATAGGAAACTTTTATTGGGTACATTGATAAAAAAATGTTTTCCAGATAATTTGTTTGTAATAGTTGAACCGATGCATCGAGATATAACTTGGAAATGTGATTTAACTATTGATTGATGTTAAATTTGGGGTGAAACTTTTACTCACTAGAAAACAAAGCTTTTGGAGTTTCACCAATTGGCTTGGAAAGTTGTTCCATTGGTGGATTTGTCCGACTGTCAAATTCCTTGTCAATCGAAGGTACAGATGAATCTGGTAATGTTTCAGGGGCGTCAATATCAGCTACTTCTGCAAGAAAATATTGAAATGATTGAGATTCGAATATTTACATTTTAAGCAACTTTGACTTGGTTAGTTGATGTTGACGATAATTAACTAATTGTTGGTCTACTTACTGACACATGAGCTGACAATTCCGTCCCAATTATTTCTAAGGCAAGTTAAAAACTTTTTCGGTTCTCTGGTATCTTTGAAGATGTAACCCTCACAACAGGTCATCGATGCTGAGGTTTCATTTTGCTCAACAATGTGACCCTTGAAAGGATCTTTTAGCTTCGGGCATCCATTAACTGAATGATATTAAAAGGATTAAAAAAGTACAATTTAATATTAATAATGAAACCAAAAGACGATTCTGATAGTTCAATTTCTCTGGTTAAAGAAAAATACTGAAAATTGAGTTTCACAAATATCAAGTTAGCCATAACAATGTCAACAAGTTTTTCATTGTTAGTCTCCTATTGCATTGAATGGACAAACTTGATTTTGGTAAAACGGTGTTTCCAGCTCTATTGATGTACCTTGATATCTGACAAGCCAACCTCTTCTTGCTCTGAACTCATTCTGTTTATAAGATAATTTAACTTCAGGTCCTTTCGATTTAATGGTTTGTAAATTATTAATGCTATCACCACATAAAGTGATCAACTTTTGATCAGCACTAATTGTCAATGAATCTGTACATTCAACAACAGCCTCTGCAAGGAAATCTTTGGGTTTAACGATTCTAGGATCGGTCAATTCAGTGTCCAAAATTTGTAGCTCAATTTTTTGACCCTCCAAGGCTGTTATGGTCCAACTGCAATCCATAATGGACGATGAATAGTCGGGATAAGTGGGCGAAGAAATGTAACCATAAGTGCGATCCAGAACGCTATTACAATAATGAGCCAAAAGATAAGCTAAAAGAAGAACGAAAAAACGAAATTAAATTTCATTCACAAATAAAAGCAATAAAAGAGCAGAAAATTCGAAATTGATTTCTGATTTAAAATGGTAAAAATGGAAAGCAATATTCATTGAATCAACCAAAGAAAAATAAATTATATAACAAATGGTTCAATTCACAATTCAAACAATTACAGAATCTAGGAAAATGGTTAAAAATGAAATTTAATTATTGTAATACAATCAATCTTTAGATTTACAATGGAAACGCTCATCGTTTTGTATGAAAAGTGAAATCATAATTTTTGTCCAACTTCAACAGATGCTGCAAATGAAATACAAAATAATAACCTGATCATTATTGCGTCTCTATTGAACTTAATAAAAGGTCAATTTGTGCGGCAGCTTTTATGCTCACACAAATTGTTGATCAATTGACTATCAACTTATTTGCAATCTTTATTCAATTTTCATATTTCGATGTAACTCAAAGTCAATGGTATTATTTGGTTGTTGATCATATGTTTAAATTGAAAAATATTGATCCTTAAACAGTATTTTAAACTGTTGATATAACTAGCTGCATATGCATAAATCAACTCCGATTATTGTCGTTTCTATTCATAGTCTATATTTGTATTGATATAAATTTCAAGTGTTACCCTCTTTAAGCTCTCCTGTGGTGTTACACCCCAAATTATGATTTGAGTGGGGTCCATTGTTGTAACCGATTGTCTGGTAACAATTGAGGCCACTTTTCGCATAACAAAGATTACTAAGTCTATGCATTTATATCGAATATTTATTGGTTATTCAATACTCTCTTCGATGAGTTAATAGGTTTTCAATGGTAAACCAATAAATAACCATAAACAAATTGTACTCCGCATTTTTTGTCCTCTCCTTTTGTCTCATTTTACTTAACAATTGAACCACTTTGGGCAACTTTTTTACCTCAAAGTGTCAACAAAGAAACACCAAAGAATAACATTTGCGTTTACAGCCCGTTTTTGAAGGACACATTTCCTCAATCGAAACAGTAACAGTTGTTGGAGTGATTAAAGTACAAGTATTATATATTAACTCTCTGGGCTTAACATTATAAAAAGGATGAAAAAATATGTTCAAGTTATTGTCAAGTTTTCAAAATAACTCATCAGAACTGTTAATTAATAGCTGACCAAATTGAAAGAGAAAGTCATTAAAGAGAAACTATTTTTAAAGACTTTAATTTCGATAGTCAATTGACGTTTTTGCCATTAAAAGACTGTTAATGAAATTGATGAAATGTTTGATGAAAAACTAAAAATACTGAAAAGAAATTTAATTAAAAGTATTCTGTAATTAACTTCTTATGTTGTTGAAAACAAATTAATCTGAACTTTAATTGCTTCGATTTCAGTGCAAAATTGTACATTAAAATTAGCAAAAAACTATGATCAAATTAAAAACTGTTGGTCAAAAACTAATAAAACTACTCTTTTATGCTGGTTAAGTAGGCAAATTTCATTGATGTTAACATCTGAGAAAGCTAGATGGTGCCATAAGCACCACCAACTGAGCTTGATAAACAAGCGCTCAATACAAATCATCTAATGTAAACTGCATTCAAAGCTTGCTATTATTTTATTTTCACCATTAATAAAATTAGCCAAACAAACTGAACTCATCATGAAATTCAATTAGCAGTGCATCGATAAAAATAAACTGGAATGGAAAATAAGAGAAACAAATGCATAAATTGACAATGAATACTAACCCAAACTAAATAAAATTGTGATTAACCCTAAATACAATTAGACTTCAGACAATCCAAGTGATTGGATATACTGCTGATATACAATAACATAGAGCTCGAAAGCGAAATCGTTAAATTGTGCAAATCTTTCCAGAATTAAACTGAATCCCCCAGATTTCTCAATTTCTGCTCTTCTCAATTAACCTTTAACTAAAATTAATCAGATAATACTTACGTGCGATACAAGAGTACTTATAAAATATGTGACCAGGTTCTGAGCATTGGCTTAAAACTTCTGAAGTAAAGTTGCATTTTCTGGTTGTTGTGCAGCTGAAAGAAAAAAGAATTGAATTTTGTGATTAAATTGGTTTATCTGAAGGTGATGAAAATGAGAGGTTTTAATGGTGATTAAGGGTTAAGGATCATGCTTTTGTAGACGGGTTCGATAATGATTGGTAATGAAAATTGAAAGCAAACTGATGATTTAAGTTCAATTGAGAGGGTGAAAATTGGGATGAACAAAGATTATAAAGATGCTACAGGAATCCATTTTTATACAGGTTGAAGGTGAGTACAAAAGACATTAAATATTTAAGATGAATGTTGAAGTTTCTCGAGTTATTGGAAAATATTTGCTCAACTCAACTTTTCTCATGATTTAAAAATGGTATAAAAAACTGGGCTTCAATTGAATTGAGTTAATAATGAAAAAAAACTGTGAGAATATTAATGTTTACAAAGTCATGTTAACCTAATTTTAAAATTCAATTTTAAGCTTTTCAATTGAAATTTATTTATTCATGTGTTCAATAAATGAACGCTTGGAAAAGATCAAACAAAATATCTGAATTTATCTGATCAATTGAAAATATGAATTTCAATTGTTAGTAAAATGAAGGTCAATTTTGATGGTAAATTAAAAGAAGATTCAACGACAATAAGAAGTTGAAAATCAATTGATTTGATTGATGTCAAACTGAAGACGAAAGCTTAATATTGAACAAACTGTACAATTGTTTAAATTTGGTCAATGAATATTCACCAATCAAAGGATTTTGGCTGCAATTCAAAAATTTGAATGACAATTGAGACGCGAAATGACAAAAGAAAACAAATGTTCAGTTAGCTGAAGCATAGATAAACATGAAACGATGAAATAATCAATGATTGAGTTAAATAAATAACTCGATTGCAATCAAAAGCCTTTCAACATTGACAAGTGTTAATCACTTAAAGTGATGGAAACAATCAAGCGTTTAAATGCAAAGGAACCCAAATTTACAAAAAAACAGGTTAACAGCCTTGATGTTGAATGTTCAACACACATGATTGGCGCAACTTGAATATTAAATTTGAAGGCAATTCTGGAAACAATTAGTGGTTATTTAACATTAACATGCAACAATTAAGAAGATTTAACTGCACAAGTTGTCCGGAAGTTAATTACATTGGCTAATTATTATAACAATCATTATGATGTTATCCTACAATAAATATGGATTTAATGGTTTCAACGTTTCTTTTCTTTCAAGTCATGATAAACATTTACTCATGTGAATCAAAGCAAATTAAAGGTAAACAATTAAGTTAAACCTTTGACCATAAATAGAAGTGCAACTTTTTAACTCATTGTTCAGTGATTATTTTAAAAAGGATGAACAATCAACAAAGTTGACTAAACAATGAGAAAGCCAATTAACAATCAACAAGAGTCTATTGATGAGTTGATTTACCAATGATGAGTTAAACAACAGTTTAAAACAAAAAGCCAGAAAAACTTTGTTCTCACAATTTCCGGATTAAAGAGTCTATTTAAAGGCACATTCAGGTTTGGGTGAAAAGATAATCGCAATTGTTGATTTAGCTAATTCATTGACACTGTTAGGTGGATTATAATATTAGCCAGTCAATCAATTTTCAAAAAACTCATCAAGCTGAGAAAGTTCATTAGGATAATGTTAACTTAACAGGCTAAAGTTATCAATGGGACAAATAAAGTTATCTTTAGTTGTTTGGTTTTTTACAGTTACACTTGTTGACGATTTTTATGATTTACGCTGGAAATTTTGAAGCTCATTTTGGGATTTAATTTTGGTTTAAAATTGAAATTTTTAATTTCCTGATATTCATCTTGAAATGGATAAATTTTCATTTTTATTTCATATTTGGTTTGAAGTGTCGATTCAATCGACTTCCTGAAGGTTTCAAAAATAGGTTGAGCTTATGAGGAATTCAGGAAAACTATAATATAATAGAAAAACTAGGAATTTAGGTTCCTAAAAAGATCATGTTCTGTGTGTAATAGTGGGAATACAAGGCATTGGAAAAGAAGGAAAAGTAATTTTGTTTAGTTTGATGTCGTTATGGTTTATTGTTGGATGATTTATAAATGCAAAAACTTGGACTTTCGAGTTGAGAGTTACAGTCTGATAGACTTTTACGAACATAAGAACTGGACTTATTTAGGCAATTTTTATTTTTAATATTGTTTTTTTATTCATAACTCGAGCCTTTAAATGAGGATTGAGTCTATTGTACTCGGTAAACAATAATTTCTGATCAGTCATGATCGGAGGTCCACTTGTTTCTTGATCTTAATTTGAAATATCAATTTCTTTATCATAATGCCATATTGGAATATTGGAAGCAGAAAAACTCAAATGACTCTAAGATAATAATTAATAGTTGATGTAGAGATGCATTCATCAAAAATAGTATCTAAAATATGCCGATATTAACGATAAAATAGATCCGGTTCAAGAAAAAGAAACAATTGAATCTGTTCGATCTTTTACGATTTCACAATCAGTTTATTGCTTAGAAAATCGTGAAACAATAGAACTTCATTGTTCATAATCATAGAAAATTTAAAGAATTTTATCTCCTATCCCGTACTTCAAATGCTCTACTATCGAGCTCCCTTACTAGAAAAGTATATAAACTATCAATCAAGCAACAGTTTACCAATCAATAACTTTTATTCAACTGTTTCTATTAAAAAAAGTGTTATTTATTCACTCAAATAATAGATTGAACCATCATGTCAAGAATTACTTGTATTTTTGCTTTTTGTGTCTACCTCGTTATTGTTACAGCCGATCCTGACAGACCAGGTAAATATTTGAAGCATGATCGAACAGTAATCAACTGTGCTCGATACAAGAGAGAAGCCAATCAACATCAATGTGTACTCTCACCGTTCAACACCGAAGGCCCTTATTTCCTACCCGATGATCTTCAACGATCTGACATCACTGATGGTCAAACTGGTATTAAGTATAGTCTAACGATCGCTTTAGTCAATTCAAATGACTGCTCTCCTTTAGAGAACATGTTCGTTCATATTTGGCATGCTAGTGCTATTGGTGAATATTCAGGTGTTGGAAAAATGGGTCCTCCTCCTGGTCCAAATGGTCCAGGAGAGGAACACGATTTCCATGGACATGAAGGTTTTGGAGGGCCTGGTGGACCGAAGCAAACTGGAAAAGGAAGAGGTGGCCGTGGACCAAAGCCCCCACAAGAAGGTAGAGAAGGCAATATGCCACGACCTACACCAGTCAGTGATGAACGTTTCCTTCGAGGTTATCAAGTAACTGACCAAAATGGATTTGTAAACTTCAACACTATTCTTCCAGGTTGGTATGCCGGTCGAGCTACTCACATTCACATTGAAGTTTATCCACGAAACACAACTGAACAAAGTGCCATCTCTTATGTTGGCCAAATCTTCTTCCGAGAAGATCTACCAGAATCACTCAAGCTATTAGAACCTTATTCAAAGAACCCAAATCGTATCACTTTGAATGAAGATGATGGTATCTACACTAATGGTCATGGTAATGAAACTACTGCTAAACTTGAAGCTGTCGACTCATTATCATACAAAAGTACCATGATATTCGGTATCGATCCTGATGCTCACACTAAATCCCAAGTTTGATCAAATATGAAACGTTTAAAAGGTAATGATGAATGATTAGGTCCAGGCTAATTGATACTAAATCTAATTCCAATATAACAATTTTCGACTAACTTGTATTTGCGCAACAAAGATAAAAATAAAATTAAATTGCACTTAAGAAAAGCACTTCTTTTGCATGAAAAGTTTTTTTAATCTACACTTTTTATAATAATAAACGAAATGTGCTCGATGGCTTGATTATTTATGTAATCAATTTATGAAAATAAGTCCAATGAATCGACTATGAATTAATTTCGCTGTTGATGTGCTATCAATCCTTTGAACTCATTAGATTAACTGTTCTTATAAGCCTTTCTAACTAAAGGCATGATTTTCATCAACAAAAATTGAATCCTTCATAAGCTTTGAAGACAACTCGTTCTTTATAAAAGTTACGTGGAAACACTCATTATTAATCAAATGTTGCCAATTAAAAACATTAAATCGTCTAGATTTCAATTCAAGGTAAATGCAATAAAAAGCATAATAGAAATGATTTATTGCCAATAAATCAAGAGAATAATCATAACATGAAAATATTTGTACAACATTTACTCTAGTCGCTGTTAAACGAATAAAAATTGTAATTTGAAAAATACCTTCAAGACATTATAATTTGAATAGTAAAATTTGGGTTTGGTTAAATCTGATATACTTTTAATGATTGACAATAAATGATCAAATCTTTTTGTTTCAAACATTCATCCATTACAAGCTAAAAGCATTTGTTTCACTGCAACAATGCTTTGGTCAATTATGATATCATTAAATTATGAAAAATGAAGATAAACTCAGGTAAGGTATAACAATAGCATCAATTAATAGCATCTAATAATGAGATTAGTTGGTTTTTTATTGAAAACCGTTTCATTTCATATTGTTTACTAGGTTGGGCTCAGTAAATATTTTGCATAGGCTTGGCTATTAAAACTAATTAATTAACTTTAACCAAGCCTGTTCAATAATTTAATACAATTGTCATCGCGATTACAACAAGCACTGAAACAGTGAACACACGCCTTGTAAAACGGTAACTGACAAGTCATTCAACTTTTCAAGTAAACCTTTACCTTAATCCTTGACTGGTTCAACAAGTAGCAGGTAACAATTACATTATCAACATTAAATGATCAAAATGAAAATCATTGTGTTAATATTTTTGTTCACTGAATAGCAAACACTGTTTAATAGAAACACCAAAATGGTTAACAAGACGAAACCCTTGAGCAAATTCAATTTCAACATTAACAGAAAAGTTAACTTTTTCCCGGTAAAAATAAACACCAATTTATGTAGAATTCTTGTTTTCTCAGTTGAATAAATAGTTGTGATGGAAGACGAATTTAATGTAAAAAATTATAATTGATATTTTGCTCAAGAAAAATCATTATTCATAATATGGCTTCAAGTATTGGTTTAAGATGAAGGCACTAAAGGTTAAGCTTGTTGATTCCAGAGGGTAAAAGCCATTGGGCAGTTAATGGTAACTATTAGCTAATGACATTTACACGTAGGTTTACATTATCAATGATAAATTGTCTATTTAATCGGAAAAATGTAAATTGTATTAATTTTCATGGAATTTAACAGAAAAAATTGCAAATTAACATCAAGTTTCTTGATAATTATCAAACATTCGATTGATAAATGACATGAAATCAAGAAACTGAATCTATTTGAATCGCTGTTCATGATGTCAACATTAACGAGCTATTACAACGTATTAACTCATAACAGTTCAGTGAGTTTAACGATTCCTCAAGAAGCAATGAAACAAACGTTTCCACAAAAATAAAAGTTCAAGTTCAACCTTTTTCAAAGTTTATCTTGAAGCATCTAAAGTTATCAAATTGATAATATTTATCGCTGTTTGCGGTCAATTTACACAAAAAGTCTATCAATGGCAAAACTGTATGAGGTCAATAAATTTTACTACAGATTCAGAATCAACTCTTCGAATGATCTTAAACTTGAAATTCATTCAGTATAATAAATCGATCAAAATGTCGAATCTGCAAAATAACTTTACTCGATTCACTCAACTTTACCATCAGAATATCGGGATTATTTGGATTTCCAATAGACTTTTGAAAACTAAAAAAACTTCTTGAAGTTTAAAATAAAATGAAACTGTAAAAATGCGTAAAAAGATATTCTTGAGTAGACATGGGATAATCGAAAAGCTCAATCTAAATTCAATGTAATTGGTTATGGTTAGTATATTTTGCGTTCTGATGAAATAATTGACTGTCAAACTGTTGATAATTACGTGACAGGTTGTTTAAACAAGGTAAAAAGATATCAAGGTGAATAGGAGTTGAGAGGGAATAATAATGATAATTACTTGGCATTAAATTGAAGCCTTAGATCTTCGTAACAAGTTTCCGTTTGTCCTGTTCGATGAAGATAATTACTTTGAGCACAATGATGATTATGGTCCAATGATGTTGAAAAATATGCTTCTCTGATAACCATTTTCATATCCTCGGGACATTCAAGGGTAAACTTTTTTTCCTCTGGAATTGGTATGCATTTGGTTTGGGTTAATTCATCTTTATCTGTGAATAAAGGAAAACAAAGAGTTGGTGAGTAAAGTAAAGCAAAGCAAAAACACAATTAATTGTGATTTATTGATGAAAAATGGCATTTCAGATGATGACAGGGAACATGGGAAAAGGTTGAAAATAATTATAGATAATTATTGATAATTGGATCACTAAAATGCTTCTAGAGTTTCAAGTTATAAAGCAACACTAAACTTGTCAAAATGTACGCATAACTTGCAGATTAACTGCGATTTTATTCAAAGTTGAGTATTAATTTGACAACTGAACAGGTAATTGATGAATGTTGTAGTTTGCATGAAATTAAAACTGACAACTTTATTTTTACCTTTTACCTTCTGTTGAAGGGTGAAGATTGCAATTGACAAAATTCATCAAGTATAACTTAATTGGACAATGAAAGATTACTAATGAATAATCACATTCATCATGGGTTACTTTTCATGATAACTATCATGTTGATGGTTGAATGACGTGATTTTTCATTCAACCTGACCATGTCAAGTAATACTTTGGTTGACACCAGAAAATCTCGAAATGGTTAAAGAAACTCAAGTCAATGTTGATGAACAATTGTTGTCATCAAATGTCAACTTGTTGAATGACTTACATCGTCATTAGATCGTCATTTAAATTGTGACTCTAATCATCATCTAGTTTTGGTCATCAAAAGAGATTTATTATTAAGCATAAACTAGATAATAGTTTATTATTGTCCAATGAATGGTGATGATGGAAAGGGAAAGATCAGGATTAAAGTTAATTGAAGGTTCTAGCTGAAGTTGGATGAAAAGTTGGCTTTTTTCAAGTTCATGTAATGAACAGTTTTTCTTCATCAGATTATGTTGGGCGAGAAAAAAATATCACAATATAATGATAACTAGATTCACCAATGAATAATGAATAACATGAAAATGCTTAAGATAATGTTTGTTTCAAATTTATTGCTTTAATCGATTGTTCAATGTCCAATGTAATTATCATTATTACATTGCTTCGGGCATTAATTATCAACCTTTTAATTTGGTAAGTGATAAAAGTACAATCAAAGGAGAGCATTGGACACATTAATCAGTTTAATAAAACATTGTTAATTAATAGACTATCAAGTATCGGTTTAATTGAATTTTGCAAAGAGTTTGAAGTTGTTTGTAAAAGTTTATCAAAAGCTAAACTGACACGATAATTGGAGCTGTTATTTGCTCTCAAATCCAATTAACATTGATCATCTTGATTAACTTTTTTCAATTAATAGCCAATCAAATAGAAAGGTTAAACAAGTTGCAATCAAAAACACTAATCATCAGTAATTGTAACTTTTAAATGATCAATTTGATGAAACTATAATCAACCCTTTAACTGGGAATAATTTTTCATACTTTGATTGTTATTATTTGATCATCAATTTACTCAATGCATCTGTTTTTGGTGCAATTAATTTACTGTCATTTGTCCAGATGAAGTTGACTTCAGTCAAACTCAGACTCTGAATACTTGAGCTTTTGATGGTCAAAGGTTTCAAGTAGTTTAAAGTGGTTACCATTATTAGTGAATGTCAAAATTGATCATCTAATTGAGTTAACAAATTAATGATGATTCTATCATATTTTTGCTCAATTATGTTACTGGGATCATTTATGTGGCTTGCCAATTGCTACTACAGAAAGTAAATGAAACCGGTAACATTGAATTTAATTGGGAAAACAATCAGCAAACTTTTACTGCGTAGGAAGTAGATGAACATGAATTCAAGTTCAACTATCCCAACAAGTTAATCTTGATTGTTAACATTTACATGAACAGTGAATCATCTTTCAAGTTTATTTTTTCATTCAATTCCTTCTGTATCATGATAAATTCGTTGAGTTTTCTTTCCTTATCATCTTTAAATTTCTCATGAAAATGCAAAAATGTTTCTTTCAAAATGAAATTCTCAAAATGTAAATGGATATTTTGGATGAAAAATAGATGATTCGTTTTCAAATCTTTCAGATTTTCATCCTTTCTTTCCATCAGACTTTTTCATTTTCTCAATCTTTTCCTTTATTCTTTCATTGATTGGATAACTTTATCAGGTCGCAAAGTATTACAAATTTAAATTGTTCAACACTGAACAATTGAAGACAACCTGATAATGATGGAAATATAAATGCACATATTTTTGCTCATTAATTCATGAATAACAAGCATTTGGTGAAATCGAAAAGAAATAAGAATCTAAGAGATCATTATCAAGTCATTGTAAGTGATTTTCATTTTAAATCAACATTGAAATGAAAAAATGATTCAAATGAGCTGAAATCAATTGATGAATAAGCTGCTGGTAACAATGATCAAATCAGAATACAAATTATAAGGTTGAAAATGTTTTCACAAACGGTTAGTTTTGTTGCGTGAAATTTTCAATGAATTTGTCTTGAATTATTACTTTTGAGCAAAAATTTTTCTTGATCAAGTATAAGTAAAGGAACCATAAATTGGATAATATCAGCTTTACCTGAACAAGAAAACAAAACAAAACCGATTGAAGAAAAATAAAGAAGCCAATGATTAAAGGTTTATTTGACCAGCATTTATGTTCAAATGTAAATTCAGAAAATAGATAAACAAATGGATAATAATTGCTGTTGAAAGATGAACATAAACTAATGAAAAGTATCAGTCGATAGTGAGTTGATTGTAAATTGATTGCTTCCTGGAATTGGTGAAAGTAAAGGTAATAGAGGAGAAAATTGTTCATTTTATGTTGATCAAAATGATAATATTGTTGGTTTCTTTTTGTGTCCTAAAGGGTTAGGTTGGGCAATTGATTAGAAAAGTTTATGATTAAGTGAAGAGGAAGGCAGAAAATGTTGATGATGGCGATGATAGGGATGATGGAAATGAAATCTCTCTCCATTACCATCACAAACATAGTAAACAGTCTTTACAATTGGTTGAAAATGGCTTAAAAAAAGGTAAACCTAGTTGGAAGATGGGGTGAGATGATGATAGAGGAGAGTGGAGATGAGGATGCTCAGGGTGTGGTAAATGTATGAGGTTGGGATAGAGGCACAAAGTTCTGAAGGGAAAATGTAATAAGAGAAGGAAAAGATGATGAGGTTTGTGGAGGATAAGTTAGTCAATAAAGAAGAGGAATCTTGGGTTAAGATGAGAGTTTACGGTGTGATGTCTCATACATTAAATTAACTGCTCATTGAAAATTAAAGATAAGATGGGAAGAGAGGGAGAGAGAGATGAAAAGGATGGGAACTGTTGGATGATAATGATAGGGATCACTGGAATGGTCAGTAATCAATGGTTAAGTGGACGTTGGTTTACTTTTTTTTACTGTTCAATGTGACAAAAGCACAAAATTTACCTCAAATTGTTCATTGAAAGGTCGATTGAAACGCCGAGTCAAATCATTCAACATTAACCATTACGCTTCACTTGGGAAATTTTTCATTTTTTTTTGTTTTCTTCTCCATTCTCGCCATTTTGCGGATAATTTACACTGATGACCGGAAACAGGAAATATTTTTCATCATTAACAGATTAAACAGATAACATTTACATGCATATTCATAATGTTTAATATAAACATCTCTGTGAATTGAATAACTAAAATGTAATAGATGAGTGGTTATAACAAATTGTGATTCACTCAAGGTAATTACACAGGTAGAAGGAAACAGGATTATGTGAGAATCAAAATATTCAATTGTTTCAACGTTTTACTCTTTCTGTAAATGACGTTAATAAATCAAAAATTTGTACTTTTCCAGGTTGGAAGAGTGTAAACCATTGGGAGTGAAGAAGCGCAAACACTTTTCTTGGTAGCAATTAAGCACCTTAAGCTATTATTAAATCAACTTTTAGTTGTAATATCAAGAGAAGAAGATTTTTTGGGTTAACTCAAGTTGTTCCAGATTATTTCATCAAATAATCAACTTAATCAAGGCATAAACATTATTAAACTTGTTTGAGCATCTGAATGCAACAAGACTTTTTTGTACAAAAAAAGGTCAAAATGAACAAAGCAAGATGTTAATGATAATGATGAGAGAAGAAACACATTTCAAGCGTTATTTCCTGTCTATGGACTTTTTAAATGTACCCATGTGTGAGATACAATTAACATTGGTGTAAAAGTATTTTTCAGGTAAACTTGAAAGTGTAAAAGAAACATTTGAATGACTTTTGGTAAACATCATTTTAACCAAATAAAGGTTATATCATGGTTGCTATTAATGGGTTTGAAGTAAAAATTTCAATTGTTGGGTGATGTTAAATCTTACCTGAATTTATTGCATGAGAAGGTGAAAACTTTTACTTTGATATTTGTTTTCAGATTGACGAGCAAACAGAAACAATTTGTTGTCATTTTTAACCATTGTAAGCAAAAATTGTATTAAATTTAGCATCACTTTTCATCCTTCTTTTGTTTTCATCCTCTCTTCCTGACTCATTCACCTCATCCTTGTTTTGACTCTTTCACTCAAATATAAAACTTTCAACTATTTCAATCAATCTTATTGCAGATATGCTTCGGTAAACCTTCTTCCTCTTTCACTTTCATGATTATCATCCGAGAAAAGCTTCCATAGTTTCAATTGTCTTCCATCATCTTCTCAGTCATCCTCAACTTACTCTTTCAAATGAAAACATTTTGTTACCATTTTCCTTCAGAGGAATATTGTTTTCTTTTCTTCTTTTTCGCCGTCCATTACTTTTGATAGATTTGCTGTTATGCCTTGACTCTGAACCTTCACTTGACTCATGTTGAGCTTCCTTTAGATATCTCTGAATCACTATCATAATTGGTAAAAATGTATTGCTCTCAACCTTCATTTCAATGATTTTCCTTCTTCTCCATGTTTACGCTTATTCTACTTTCTTGTCACCTTAATATTTTCTCTTCACCTCCCATCATCATCTTTGGTTGAACACAAATAAAGATAAAATATTGGCCTGGAAAATGATGTTACATGGTTGCTCCATTGCTTTTCCTTTGCCTAGATTAGCATTATCTTTGTTATCGTTTTCAACTTTGGCACCAGACAATGTTGATAATGGCTTTTTCAACATCAACTTCATGATAGATGTCAATGACAACTTCAGCCAACTCAACCGTTTAAACACTTAAACATCAACACAGGCAAAAGTATATAAAAGCTGAATTTTCAACATTTCAGCTCCAATTGAAAAAAATTTATCCAAAGTAAATATGAGTGACACTTTCCTAGCTTCAACGGTGCAATAAGTTTCACATGAAAAAATGAAAGCCATTACCATTAAAATAATGATCACAAAAATGAGATTGGAATTCAAATTAAATTTGGTTAATTAAACATCATCATTGAGATGCTTATCGATTGAACCATTTAAACCTTAAAACAATAAACATTGAGTTATAACGGTTGACAAATGTAAACAAATCACAGTAAAAGTAGGTTACACATTGACTCAAATATAGCAACAATTGGTTAAACAAGTTGCCAACAACTTTTGAAATGATCAGAATCAATAAAGTCTAAAATCTAAACAAATTGACACTTGATTATCAACATCATTGAGCCAACAAGTAACGCTCAGAACCAATGGAAATTTTCGACACAAAAATGTCAATAAATCGTTTCCGTTTACCATGAAAAATGCAATTTAACCTTGTTAAAAGTTTACTTCAATTAAATAATAATTAAATTAAGTTTAATCATTTTCCTTGTTATAAAACTGTAAACAACAATTTCCCTCTCAATTTGAATAATATTTTCAAGTTTCAGTCTTGAGTCTTAAACAATTGACAGGGAAATTCAGAACCAATGATTCAACCAATCAAATGGTAAATTAATAAATTATAATTTTTCATTGGAAACGCAAACTTGAAGTTACTCTTGCTAATTATACGGTGAATTTTGAATTTGCATAGTTTCCCTGTTTCATGGGAGGTTCATCTCTCATTTGAATCCCATCATAACTGTCAAATTAAGGCTAATCCATCATAAATTGTTTTTTAAAAGTACACATTTTTTGGTAGGAAAAGTTGACTAGAAATGAAAAAGGTTTAACTCTCATCATTTACAATTTTGGAGGTTAGTTAGCATTATAGCCTCAAAGTTGAATAATCAAGTTAATGCCTTTGACGGGGCAACCCATGAAGATAACAGTCAATATACAGTTTTAATAATATTTGATTGGAGGTTGGATTCAGAGCTCATTTAAATTTAATTATTGATAGTTTCATGTCAATCAAGTTGACAGTTGCTTTTGACTAAACATTGAAACTTTTGAAACTTCAAACTTGTGTTTCATTAAGAGAAATATGAATCAACATGAAAAATTGACTAATTACTTAGGATTTATTGTTGGTTAATTGTAAATAACATTTTGCCAATCAACAAGATATAATGGCTTTTGAAAAGTTATTGTTCTATTTGTTTCACCTGATGATCATTTGAAAGGATAAACGGTTGAACTAAATGATGAACTTTAACTGACCAGAAGTACTGCAATCTGATTATTATCATTCATCATTTGTCAATGATGAATCGTTTTCATGATATCGGGTTACAACGAGAGAAAGGTTGGAAAAGAATGAAAAAAATGAAATGTTTTATTGATTGCAATATCAGTAGACCTACCGAGTTGCTTGATATTGTTATCAAATGGTTAGGGAAAAAAAGATGATCTGAATTAATAGAAAGGTAAAATTCGTAGATAACTGAATGGGTTAATGATATACTTCAAAGTCCATCAAAAGAAACAATCATTACCAAATAATAATCAAATTCAATTATTATTATCATTACTATTATTGGAGGAAACTTTTGACGCTCCTGGTTATATGTTAAGTATCATTACATGATTGGATTATCGTTTGGCCTAAAATTATTACACTTAAAAGACAATCATTGGTATTAACTGGAAACTTTTCAAAAGCTATGAGAACAAGTTTTTTATATCAGATTGATTGGAATTTCATGGAATCATCAAAAGCAATCCATACAATATATCAAGTCAAAACATCAAAATTTAGCGCTCAAATTGTGGCCAAACTTAGCTGTTAAGAAATTTTGACGTAGCATGAAAGCCATGATCAAACACGAAAAATAGTCAGAACTTCAGGCTTCTGAGAAATTCGTGTAAATAGAGACAAGAGAAAACATACAAAACCATATTTAACTATTGAGTTCTGAAGAAAAAATTTTTAGCATTCAGGTTGATGGTTCATTTCTGAATTAGAAGTACAATAAAACCAAATGTTGTGAGCCAAGCGATATTGAGCTCATACTCCAATTCATATTTAAGTTCAATGTGATGAAAATTCTGGCATTTGATAAAAAAGGAGTAATCTTGTGACCAAGTGGTAATCAAAATTCCAAGTGAATTATCACTAGCATTTTCATTTTTGCTTTGAAAAAGGCGATAATAAAGACAGAACAATGAGAATAAATTAGATAAGTTTGGTGAACAATTACTGAACAGATTGGTTTCAGTGATTTCAATTTTTCCGATAAAAGATTTTTTAAAATAACAATGAAGCAGGACATATAGCAATGCTATGATTGAACTAACGATTTAAAATCTATTCAATTTAGTGTTGTTGATCAAGTTGCGACTAGTTAAGTGAAACAATAACAGCAATATATTAATAATTACTGAATAAATTGATTGTTATTTGAGTATTAATCAACTGTTTTTACAATGAAGTACTCGACTGGACTCATCTTTATGGTTACATGTGAGTTGCATATTTTTCTGGCAGTTCACGAATTTTAATATCTTTTTCAATTTTACTTTGTTACAGTGATCAATGTGTCAATATGCTCATCAATGCGAGAATTGGACTTTATGAAAAGTTTATATCCTTATACCGGTATACCAAAGCCGATATTCATTACCCTTGTAAACAGACGAATTTACCAATTGAATTCTGAGTGCAAAAATGAAACACTCTCAGATGCAACCAAAGCCTTTTGTGAATCTACGGATAAATCATTATCGCTACTCGTCAATTGGGCCACTTCAAAGGGTACAAAAGGCAATAATCAAACGGTTGTTAGTTTGCGTGATGAAGAAAGCCTTGATCTGTTTGAATTTTACGAACAAACTGTGGAGATCTTGAATAAGGTTTATCCACATTTAAACATTGCTAGTGTTGATGATTACAGCACAAACTCATTGGCTTCAATCGATATTTATCACTTCCCGAAAAATAAATTTCAAGCTTTGATTGATGCTTATATTGGTGACATTATCTTGGTTTGTGATTACGAAGAATCGAATGGAAATTCCAAACGAATTAATATGGAGATTTTCGACAGTCTAACCTCGTTATCCAAAGAAGTACAAAACCTCAGTGGTAATTATTGGATTGATCAACATATTGCACTTCGAGCATTGGATCAATGTTTGAAGCGATTCGCTATCTTGATAAAGCTTTTCAGACGAGATTTCCTTAAAAATTGAAGACAATTTTGAAGCTTGTCTCTAAAGTAAATACATTAATGAATTAAATGCAAAACTAACTTTAATGTGAAAATCTATTCATTTTTAAATCACTTTAACTCTACCTTTTGATTCAAATAACATCTGTCGATATGTTCATTTATTCAGCAGTCACTTGTTTGGACGATTTCTGTCGATGCTTTGTTGGTTTGAATTTTAATATTTAATCTAAAGATTCTAATCAAAGGTTGAGTTATAGTTGTTTTAATACATTCAACTTGGGGCCGATCCGATGAACCAAAAAATGTTAAAAATGTTGGTTAAATCTTTGTTAGTTGGCAATGTTTGTTTGATTTTATTACGTCATCAACATTAACACTGTCCGATCAAAAAATTAACAATCATTTCATTCATGCGCTTTTACATTTTTTAGATTAAATTTCTTATCTTTTTGATTATAAAAGATTTTTAGTTATCTTTTAAAATCATTAAAAAACAAAAGATGGCGCTTTCTAATTAAGATTTAAAATGACATTAATCAAAATTGATTAATTTTAACAAACATTGCCAATTAACAAACATTTTGACAAACATTTTAGTTCATCGGATCGGCCCTTGATAATTCAAAAAAGCAAAAAACAATCAAAATGAATTATTGATATTAATAAGAACTGATAACTGTATCAATTTATCATTTTTCACAGTCGATGAACTTTTTTCATTTAAAAAACTGTGATTATCCTTAATGATAGGAATAATTACAATTTCTGATTTTCTCAAGTTGCCAGATTCTGTGGAATTATTGAATTGATATCATTTTTTGGGTCATAACCTGATTTTATTCAACTTTATATTGATGATGTTAAGTCTTAAAGGGTGTTGCGGATAAAAAGGAGAATTTATCTTTCCTAAAATTTTGATAAAGATGACGATTTATTGATAAATTGATTTGTCTACGTTTGTTTCTTCTGCAATTTTGTTATCTTCATTGTTATCATGGTCAATGTCATCTTTATCAAAATTTTAGGTAAGATAAATTCTCCTTTTTATCCGCAACACCCTTTACCAAAATTTCAAAATCAAATTGTTACAGCTTCTTAACCTTTCAAATATTGGATTAAATTTAAGATGTTGTTACAGATTCAGAAATTATTGATTTAAATTGTTCATCAATGGTTCACTACTTGAGCTATTATATTGAGACAACAGTTAACGTCTTTTTTTATTGTTTTACCAGATTATGAGTAATGTAAGTTTTAATGAAATTCAAGGGAAAAAGTTTCATGTGAAGCTGTGCGAAATGAATTGATCTTGTTTTCATTCATAAAGTTAATCGGATTATTTTTCACATTACATCAACGGAGCAAATGTAAACCTCCCAGGATAAAAGCCTAATCATCATGAAAGTTGAGCCAAAAATAAATGTGAAGTTTGGATGGAAAACATAAGAAAACAAGAAAACAGAAAAAGCTGAAAGTTTCAAATTGTCATGATGACCAAGCTCATTGATATATTTAATTAGCCGAGAATACGAAGACAGATTGAATGGCGAAACATAATCAATGGACATTAAATCATGTTATAAAGAGCATTAAAATGAATGGGAAGTCAGGGTTTTCAACAAAAGGGGTTAAATTGAGTTGTGAGGGACAATTTCAACTGTAACTAGACATTTATTTATGATCATTTCATTCATGAGAGTTGCTCTTTTCATGGAGAGTCTTTTTATTCATGAGAGGAGGAGAAATGTTGTGACTCATTCAACACAAGGTTCAAATAATCAGCATAATAAGCAATAACAGTAAAGAGATGGTAATAAGATGAAAGGAAACGGAAGAAAAGTGTTTCAACCATTTCAGCACTTATCTCACTCTTCGTGATGGTCAAGTGTCATTTAACTGGACAAGAATAATGAACTAGGAGAAAAAATGTTTCATAAGTAAATAAGGTTATCAATTGAATACAGATTTAGCAGAGTTACAAGGTTAATGATGATAATATTTCCGATATTTTTGTGCAACATTTTGCTCATTTTGTTCAAGATTAGTTTTACCTTTTTACCACCTTTAGATGGTGCGTGATATGAAATAATTTGACCATTCAAGCAAATTGCTTTCAACATCTTCTCACAGGTTCCTCTGTTAATCTATTTTTTGTACTCATCATTTGAGGATAAAATATTAAAGTTAACCGGCATCTTATTAACTTGATTAATTCATGGAGAAAAAGAATGTAAATCAAAAGATAATTAAAGTTAAATATCAAGTAATTAGAGTCATTTTGTGTGAACATTGCATTAATTAACAATCAACAAGTTTACAATTATTCTCAACTCAGATTCTCATGTTATTTTGATTCTATTTTAGATGCAATTGTTAATTGTCAAACATCTTTTTTTTTGCGTTTCCGAACAATCAAGGTTTTCAAAATGTTTACATGATTTTATTGTCATAAGTTATTACTAAATGGCTACAATGTTTATTGTTAATAAGGTTATGATTAGGGTAAGCAATCAAGGTTAATCTGAAGTAAAAGGTAAACAATGGAAACCTTGGTGAAAGATAACAAAACAATCACTGAATAATGATACTAATGTAACGATTCAATGATATGAAATATGAAATGTAATTACATGTTTAAACCCTGTTAAATGGTCAAATTAAATTAATTGTAATAACTGTAAAGTTGAATGTTTTTTATTTGCCAAAACAATTGTTAATTGGTTCGTGAAACAGATTAGAGGGTTTAATTGTGAAAGACACGTTTTATCAATTGTAACGGTAGTTTACAATTGAATTATCATTTGAAGTTTTTTTAAAGTTGTGTGATAAACAATTATAGAATGACCAAATCAAATTAAACATTATTAGTATCAAATTGTCAATTATTAATGGTTAAAATGACCAATGAACTTGATTTGGTTGTTAAAGTTTCAATTTTCATTAGTTTTAAAAGATTAAACATTTTGCAGGCAAGTTAATGATTAATTAAGCTTTTGTAGAGATTTAAGTCAAATGATTAAATTGTAATTCAACGTTTTACTGATTTTTATGAAACAATAAATCTAGATAATGTTGAAATGAAGTGATTAAAGATGTCTTAAGCTGGATTAAAAATGGATTCAAGTTTGTTATTGATCAATTTTAGTTTATTTAACAAACTGATTATGTTAGGAATTGAATCAAATTGTGTTTATTTTTGTTGGTTGGTGCAAAAAAGATGAAGTGAGATACAAGACTAATCCAAATAATTTGTTTGCAGGGTAAAAAAGTTCTGATTAAGAGATTTGCTGATTTGAGAAAACGATGAATCAAGATAACTGTTAACAAGAATCAAGTTCACATTAGACTATTGATTAACATTGCGATAAAATCAATCAAAAACTAGCACTAAGTTCCGATAATTCTTGACCGAATCTTGAAGTTCAAGAGAAGATAAGACTTGAAACAACTGAAGTTCACGGTAATGTCATAGGTTTTATCAGGTATCATTGATTTGGTCAATGATCATTATTTTGGTTCAATTTAGATTCAGTAAAATTGAAGATTTTCATTGTTCATGTTCATTAGTGTGTAAAAATAAATTTTTATCAAGTATTCTTGTCAGGAATTGTGGTGATCTATCATCTCAACAAGATTTGATTTTGACTTTATGATAACAAGTGCGAAGGATAAACTGAGTTTCATGAGATTATGAAAGATATAAAAGTATTTCATTTCCATGATACCGAGGTGAACACTTTTAAGCAAAAAATGAACAAATTTTCTCCTCATTTTACTCTTCAAATCCAGCTAATTGCAAGCGGATTAAATTTGGTGAAAAATCTTGCTAAACTTTACTTGCTTCAACTTATTGGCTCACCAAAGCTGACAGATTTAATTCAGATTAAAACGAGATCAGTCTGAGTTTTATTTCACTTTAACAAGAATGTGTTTGATACCTCGCTTAACTCAATCTTATGTGATGAAGGATAGATTGATCATGATTATCATGAAAATTGAAGGATAAATTAGAATTCAAGTTTTATCATTTGTTTTTTGTGTTTACATGAAACATTGCAAGTGATTTAAAAAAGATGAAAATCGATCAGCAATAAACTAACAATTGCAAGTTCAATCAACTAGGCAATTGGAATTAAATTGAAGCAAAAATAACGTGAAAAAAGTGATAAACATAAAAACTGGGCCTGAGATGAATACAGATAAATTACAATTGAGTAAATTATAAACAACAATTTGTTGAAAGATTGAGTGCCAAGCTTTACAAAGTCATTTGTCTTCTCAATTACAAAAGCAACAGTTTTAATAGCAATATCTTTTTTCATCTTTTCAGTAACTTTTTGCTTCTATTTTTTGGTACTCATCAATTTTCAATACAAAACCATGTCCAGTCAAGGATAAAGATAACTTAATTTACCATTAAATTAACTTGACCAGGCACAATCGTCATTCAATTTCATGAAAAGGGCAAAATTGTTAACAAAAAAGGTAAAAAGTATTACAATTGAACTACAATTCATTTTAATGAAAATTGTAATTAAAATTTGTAAATGAAACCTCTTTTAAACTAATTTTATGGTCAAACTGAAAGAGAGAAATGAATTAACTTTTGTGTTCAATGATGATTGTAATGATGTTGATGATTACCAAAGGTGATCTGAGAAAAGCTTTTATTATGGATTGCACGAAATTTCGAGGTAAAGATGAAAAGGTAAGAAATGCTGAGAATCACAATTATCATTAGTGTCACGGGAAATTGTGATTAGTTTTAATATTGAGAGGAGAAACGACAAGATTAATCGTAAACAGAATTAGTCTTTAAAATTCATTTTTTTCATTTTTACACTTTTGATGAAAAAAATGAAAATTTTAAAATGACGATGCGAACATGAAGATGGAAAGATGAGATGATGCGGGTGAGATGAAAGGATGGAAAGAGTAAGATGAAGAGCATCATTATCATGAAGATCATCTTGAGTTTTTAGAGAAACCTTTGAATGGTAAAAAAAGCAGTAGGACAAAACACTCTGGTTAACAAGAACCGGTTACTTTAGGGTATTCAACCTTTCTTCCGGATCATCGATGCAACAACCAAATTCTTGGTCAGGTAATACTTACCTATTACCTTTTTTTATCCAACAATTTAATACACATTGTTGTCAAAGTTAATCATCAGTTAACTAGAAGTTAATTTACAAAATAGCAATCAACGATTCCATTTAGTCAACCACCCATCAAAGGTATTGTTATTGTTCACTGGACAAGAGACAAAAGTTGAACATTCCTATTGTAACCTCACCTTGGTAAAAAAATTGTTGTCAATAAGTTGTGAGGTCAACTTTTATAAGCATTTAGAGTTAATTTAAAATATTGTCTTTCAATATTCAACTCTGACAATTGGCTGAAATATTTCCTGTTAGGAAATCAAGAGCTGGTTGTGGGTAAAAGATGTAAAGGTAAAGGTAATTTTTCAGGTAAAGATGCACAAAAGACATCAACTTCAAATTGAACAAAGGAAAGAGGAAAAAGAAGTAAATCAAAGATGATGAATGCTTTTTACACGTTTTCAAAATGTCAATCGCTCTTGTAAACATTATGCTTTTCCTATCAAATAAACTCAACATTGACCATCAGCTAAAGATGAAACATTTTTGTCTTCGGATGAATGCTTCTTGCAGCATCTTCAGGTCAACAATATTCAATAACATTTGCATTCAATATCGTTTCCCATTCACTTCTCGTAAATAACTTAAAATATTTAGTGAGAGTGAGCAACAGCTTTTATTGGATGCATCAATGGATCAACGAGTGAGATATGAAAGTGAGAGAGAAGCGATTATTTACAAACCGGTAAAGCTTGACAGCAGCATTGATGCAATGCAAACACCGTGACTATGTTACTAACAATGAATCGTGAATCCCATCATCATGTGTGTTGTTTTATTTTTTCATCAACTTTTCATTTCTTACCTAACCAACATTTTTACTGTCTTTTACCTTCTTTTCATCTTTTTTTCCTCCTCTTCTCTGTCTATTAGTTTTTTTGCAGTTTCTTCTTTTGCTTTCCTAAGTTTCCCGCCTCAACTGCTTTTACAATAAATGCTAACTTGAACATCAAACAATTGAAGTTCATCAATTATGTTGTTATTTACAGATACGGTTAAAATGTTTTTACTTGCATTGAACAAAACTACTGTTTCTGGTAAAGGTTGGAATGTGAATGAAGATATCATTAGAGCATTATTTGGGTTCTTGTACATTAGTTAACATTTGCTGTTCGACCAAACTTGATATCAATCATCGATAATTACTTGAATTTTTGTCTCATGTTGATTTCATTGAAAAAAAGCTCAAGATGAAGACAAAAGTAGTCTTGCAGTTGTTGGCAACAATTTTCTCGGTCTATTAGCAAACAAAGTTGTCTTGGCAAAGAGGGAGGAGAAGGAGGAGATTCAGGGGAAAATAAAGTGAAACAAGGTTCATGAGAAGGATTGAAAGATGAAGAGAAAATTCAACCTTTTCCTTTGCTTCGGTTTATACTTCAAAGATGAAGATGAAATAAGACAAAATACAAAATAGCAAAGGCAAAAAAACAGAATAAAAGTGGTTATTATGTGTTTTTTTTCCTAACAGCAAGCATGAAGAAAATGAAAGATAACATTGTCTGAGTGGAAACCTGAAATAAGAATGGAATCGGTATTTTGATGTTGAATAATAGCCTCAAGTGATGATATTTAACAGAACTGAAAAATATATTAAGCAGCTTGTTATTTTCTTGTCACCAAAGTTGATTTAACTTGCAATTATTTAATACTTTGGATATCATTTTGCTACCAAGAGTAGGAATTTTGTTTCAACGCAAAAAAATTGCCCTGAATTTGATTGCGTCTCTAAATGATGACATGATTATATGGGTCAAGATGTGGAGATAAATAATCATATGAATTGGATTAAGTTGTATTTGATAGTAAAAGGAAAACAATAGTTGAAATACAATAAATGGTGTCAACAATTAATGTTCAATTGATTGGATTGGTGAGAGAATCTCATAGACAAAATAATTAACAGAAAATTTAATCAATAGATTGTTTGCAAAAGTGTGGGAATATTGAAAGCAAATGCAAGGTAAAAATGGCTTCACTCAAAGTTTCGGTTAAGTCAAAAATGAAAGTGAAATTGATGAAGATGCGGATGATAAAGAAGAAAAATCATTGAAGCAAAAAGGATAAACCAGAGATGAGGAGAGACACGAATTTTTTCCCAAAGATTGATTGTTGCATCAAAAGGTAGAGAGGTCAAAGTCTGTGAAGTGTTTGGTATGAAAGGTATTGATTGACGAACAATCAAAAGGTAATTTAGCACTTTAACAATATAATGTTGATATTCAAGTTTAAAGGTGAAATTTCAAATATTTTTGAATATTCTTTTCACCTTTAACTTTCATGCTTTTACACATTTACATTTAATGTATTATTAGCTCAATGAATCTCTAAATTGATTTGATAACATTTTAGGAGTTTAATTGATTTATGATATGAAACGTTCAAATTGGTTTATTGATGTTTGATTTGCAATTTAATTGAAAATCAAATTGAACCGCAATTTTGGATAACCTTTTCATTGACAATCATCACTTGAGATTGAAAAACAGTGAAGAGGAAATAATTGTGATTTTCAAGAATCGCATTTCAAACCATCTAATGGGAATTGATTGAAGTCAATTTAATCACATTGAGTAAATTAGATGACAAAAATTGACATTGAAGGAAACATGACACACAATCGGTCCAGAGAAGGAGATGTTGATTAAACAGGGAAGAGTTTTCTGAATGTTAAGGTTGAAGTAAAATGATGAAAACAGAGGAAGAAACAAAATTTTTTGCTCCATCAAATTGCTGTCTTGGTGAATAAGTGTATTAATATTAACACTGAACCATCTTTGGATGATTATAATGAAAGTGCAACCATTATTTGTCACATCATGTAATCACATGATTATTTGGTTTCTGGTTGGGGAGAAAAGCTACAATTTTTGGTTCTTTTTTTTCTTTGAATCAAACATTTTCCCACCTTTATTCTTACACCATGACAATGATAATTTCATCATTGATAATTATCCTTGCTATTGAGCTGTTAATGTCGAGAAACATTATCATCCAGACAAAAATGAAAGGAAATCTGTTGGAAGCCTATCAATTCAATCCTTTCAATTCTCATCAATTCAACTGACATGCTCATTCTATTCATGACCTTGACCTTTATATATTCAGTATCCTGATTGGAATGAATTTTTTCACTCTTGTCTGGGTCACAGAGACTGTCGATGTCGAGTATTTTGTTGTATCATCTGTGTAATTAAAACAAACAATTTATCCCGTTATCTTATCAATGCTACACACTTGATTCAGGTTTGATTATTGCTAAGTTTATTGGGAGCAACATTGAAGTGATATCGGAAAATAGATAAATTATTCAAAAGGTAAAAATTATTAAATTGTGTAGGAAGTAATGACATTGAAACATTAGCTTCCATTATTATTGCCAGTTTACATTTGAAATCACCCAAAGTAATTCATCAAACTGGCGGAGAAATGAGTTTATGGTGATACATTGGTTGAATAAGTTAACAGAGGTTGAATTGTATTCAAATTGAAGCACAGGTAACACCTTTGAATCCTACGCTAAATTTACTATTGCCTTTGTTCATCTTAATCATCCAATTAAATTGTCATTTACTGAGCTCATCATCTACCAATTATCATTTATTAACATCATAATTCGCCCATAGATACTTAGGAATAGAGGATAATTTGCTTTTACTGTGAATATATTGTGAAGTTTTGACCATTAGTTTGCTACTACAATCATCATATTATATGGTACAATTTACGTTAATTTCATTTTTATTGTAACCCTGCCTCTTGACTATTGAGCTTTATTTGTTTGTTAAAAGAGATGTCAACCTTTAAATTTAATTTGAAAGGTTAATCTTGAATAAAATATGACTATTTCATGAGCTTGAGCTGAGTTGGTTCACTATTTTTGAAGATTCAGTCAGATGTTAAATATTTAAAAATTGAACAAGCTCAATCAAAGGATGATCAATCAATTGCTGTCCAATATTGATCTATTCAACATGATGAGTAATTTACTCTGGTAAATGAGTTAATACATGAATTAAGAAAACACAATTAACCAGCAAATAAACAGTTTGATTCTTGATAGTCTAAGTTTATCCTTGATTTTGACAGCCAAGGATTTCAATAGGTTAATCAAAGAAAGCGTAGGATGGGAAGAAATGAAACACAATAGGAGATATTTTTATGATTGAAGATGCTGCTATTTAGATGTTTACTGTTAATTTTGTTGATGATTACAAAGGAAAGAAGGATGATGAAGACGATAAAATGGAATCTAAAAGGAGACAGAAGACAGGAGGACAGAGAAACAAGAGAAAGGAATGAAATGTAAACAAGAATGGTAAACTTACCTCTATGAGTGGCTGATGAAATTGTCAGTGATAAAGATGAGAGGAAAAAAATGACTAATAAAGTCCAATGGTAACAGTTTTGTCGGTGGGAATGTGAACGGTAATTAAAATGGCTGCAACTTGGGTCATCCATTGACTTAAGTTGAGGCTTAATTTTGAGAGATTTACTTGCAAATTGAACCATGATTAACTAATAAAGCTGGGAACACAAATTATGGTTGATGATAGAATAATTTGGTCGATGAAAAAGCGCAAAGAAACAAAACAAAATAGACGAAACGTTGATAAAGATGAAACTTGAATGGCAAAGAGAATATAAATAAGAATAAAAAAAAGAAAAACGAAAAAGCTTATTAACAGTTGGTATTCTTTTCTTGTCTATTTTTAATCATTTATCCTGTTGTTGATTTGCTTTTGATAAAGTAAATGTGTTAACACACGAATCACCAAGATACACATAAAATGGAAAGATATTTGTCACTTGTTTTATGATGAAACGGTTAGATGAAAAACAATGGCTTATCAAGAGAGAAATGAGAAGAAAGTGTAATTTTGAACGATTAAATCATCACAGTTTAAATTGAAATGGTAACAAAATGGTCAATTGTGGTCCTTTGATTACAAGATTCCAGTTGATTATAACAATATCCATAGAAGCAGAGAGGGACACAGTTTTAACAGCCAATTGTGGTTAAACAATCCGATAATTAAAGTTGATTACAAAGTGTTAAGTTAACATACATTGAAAGAGATGTTGATAAGTGCGCGCTCAAAACTGAAGTAACCAAGTAAGACCTTGGCTTTACTCGGTCTCACACTCAAAGAAGACAGTAAACCGAGAAAGACTAAGCTCCTCCTAAATAGGAGGTTGAATATGACTCATTCGGAAGATCAACATTTTTAGGTTTCATTTGGTTAAAGAAATGTTCAATTTCAGGTAAATTGGACATTCCAAAGTATCAAAATTGAATCAAATCAAAAGTGAGTTTCAATTTACGGTTAAACTATTTTATTCTGGATTATCTATTTACTGTAAATGTGATTGAAGTGTAATTTGCTTATCAGTTCATTATTCAATCGGTTATCTAATTGTGTTACAATTTTTACGATTTACAGTTTATTTCATTTGTTTGATATAAATCAAGAGGAAATTATTTTACAATTTTTGTTATAAATTATTTTGAATTTGTTTTGCTTATGCTTTAATAACGTCACACAGTTTTATTGAAATTACAGCATTCATTAGTTAACAGTTATTGGCATTAAAGGAATGATAACAATTCATATTATTTGTTTTTATATTAATTCACTGCACAGCGTAAGTGTAAACATTTGTCTCTCGTAAATAATGTAGGTTACTCATTGATTTGTTGATTAAAAGACAAAAATATAACAATTTCAATTTTAAACAAATAAGATGCATTATTAGTGAGTGATCAATCTATCAGATGTCAAGTGAGACTAGGATTAACAATTAAACTAACACTTTCCTATTTAGGGATAAGTAAGTTGATTAAATTAGCGAACAAGGAATGATTTCAATGAGTGAAGGCGCGAAGAAAGAGAGAGAGAGAGAGAGGAAAAAAGTCAACATCAGTATTGAACGTTTCGTTTTTGGGGGATAACAATTAAGGCGTTTGCAAAGCCATTTCCATTGAATCAGTCGAAATTAATATGGGATTTGGTTCTGATAGTATTGAATCATATCGTATGTCTTGGTACGGAAATTTAGGAAAGAGTCTCGAATGATTTTCAACATGTAAGCGGCAGCTTCTTTTTCACTAGAGTTGGGCGAGAAACGAGCTCGTAATTGTTTTATTGTTTGACCACGGAAACAGGGTAAACCAGTGTCCAACATTAGGGAAACAAGGGAAATAATTGCCTCGTTATATGGACGGATTGCCAAATAAGCTTGAACACACAGTTCCATGAACCAGCGAAATGTTGGTGTTTCCATTTTACCACCCATTACCATGACCATTTCATCTGTTAATTTAATATCAGGTTCAAAGCCTAAATTACCACCGGGTGAGCTTTCAAACATGAAACCAAAATCTAAAGATTGAAAGAGGTGAAAATTGATTTAGAAACAATTTCAAGTTTGATTTATAGTTCATCTTACCTATGTGAATAATATGACCATCTTTATCAATCATAATATTTCCATTGTGTCTGTCTTTAATTTGTAAAAGAAAGCCGATAACACTGTAAGCAGCCATACTTTTGACGAAATTACGTCTAGCCTCCTGAAACTGTTTAGTTCCTTCGTCTCCATAAGTCTTGAGGAAATAATCATATAAAGATATGTCCGTTTCACGACCAAGTTGATCTCGAGATTTTGCATCTGGAACGCACTCAATTACTCCACACTAAAAATACAAAGATCAAGTTAAAGAATGGAAATAATTTGGATAAGGAAAAATTCAATTTACTGTCTACTTACTCCAGGAGAGGTTGCAACAACTTGATAGCGAAACATAAATAAATCTAAGCCACATTTCAGGAATATATTCTTAAAGATTCCAATTATTTGTAAGGCTAACATGTCTTGGCGCACATCATCACCGACTTTGAAAATTGCAGCTTGCCATGTTTCATATCCAACATGAATTTGATTTGTCTGTTCAGTTTTCATTAAACCAAGCTTCTCTACTTCACTAATACCACATCGAGCGACTCTAAATCGAGCTAAAAATGGTGCTTTAGCTGCACTTTGCAAGGGCACACCTGAGTCAGAGTCTATATCAAGAACAACAGATTCAAAATTGGACGGAAGGTAACAACCAGGTTGAACTTCAATTCGTTTGAGAGCCTTGAGAAGAGCATTTTTACGTTCCTTTCCTTTTGGATATTGACGAATGTCTCCCGAAATAGCAGTGATTTTTCCGAAAAAGTCAAATTCTCTTTCGTAGAATGCTTTAGCAGGACCAGAAAGAGAATTAATGATGCAAGTGATAATGTGATCCAAGGAGTCATGCAAATCAGCTATAAGTTGGAATAATTGAGAGGAAAAAAATAGTTAATTCAAGGTTTCATTAAAAAATAATTGAGAAATGAAAATAACTCACGATCAGGAATTTGTGAGTCTTCATCTCGATACATATTAGTTTTCATATTCCAAATCAACTGATGAGCTAATAATTGTGAACGTGAAGCTGCGTTTTTAATAAACTCGGAAACATAGCCCATCTGAAATTGAAACGACAATAAATTATTATTATTATGAAAATTTATACAAAATAAATCGTCTATTCATAGATGTTACAATTTACTTACAGAATCATATCTGATCGCTTGAACTAACTGTGGAATGTAGAACAAAATTACTTCCTAAAATAAAATTAAGACAATTAGTAACAAATAAAGGTTATGCGATGAGTTAATTAATTACCGGCGCATATGATGAGAGCATTCGAACAGCATATTGAGCTGTGATTGGATGAGGAGGATATTGACGTGAGAAAAATGACAACGCTTGGATTGGTGAAATACGAGCCCATGTAAGCATATGAGTAATCTGTAATGAAGAGGATAAACAGAATTATTAATTATCCTTTAATATAACCATGAAAAATAAAAGTAACTCACCTCAGGTGATTCGGCAAGAATTGAATCAGAGTTAATCAAGTATTGGAGTGCATCAGGAATGTGACAAACAGAGAGAGGATACATTCGAACCAATCTAGAAACTTCATTTTTGAGTGCTTCAGAGCTTTTGAATCTGTCAAATAAGATTAATAAAATAATCAATAAAGCAAGTTACGTTACACATTAGAGCAAATGTTTTACCTGCAGGGTAAGAAAACTGCTAAAGCTGGAGATATTTCCCAAGCTAATCTAGCAGTTTCCTTCCATTGTCGCTCATTAAATTGTTGTTCCCTCCAAGTGGCAATATTTTCTTGACCACAAATATTGGCCTCTGCTAGGGACATTGGATTATGCCAAGTCAACAGGAATTCAATTTCAACAGCTAACAATCCTAAAATGAGATTTCTTTTACGAACATAATCTCTAACGAAAAAGTCAGCTGGAAGTGTGTTTAGCTTTTTGTTTGATTGTGAACCACGAATACCAGACGATCGTTTTGATATAGTGGACATATTGCTACTCAAGGGAACTGTGTTTATCCATCCGGTTGGTGTAACCCGTGCCGGGTTAAATTCAGCACTTCCAGTAAGAGATGGCTGGTTATATGAAGGTAATAAAGCAGCTGATTGACTAACGGTATCACTGAAATTGTCATTAATATATGCAGTCTTTAAATATTTTTTCTCGGAAAGAAGAGTTTGCCAAAATTTAATCAGTGAAACGATATCTTCACGAAGTTCAAAACCTTTTTGAGTTGGACACATTTGAGCCGAGCTATGAAACAAAAAGTAAACATTTAGAAGCTATGAAACTTGTAACAGAAAAGTGTCGATAGACAATATTCATTGTAAAGGGTGAAAAAGAGTTGAATGAAGAGAAATTGTTGACTCACCAGAAATAGTCAATAGATGCTGAATAAATTCTTTCTCGTAAAACACTCTTACTAATTGATCTAGGAAGAGCTTCGCCTTGTACCAGTGAAAGACCTGAAGTTAATAATCGAAATCTTGTTCCAATAGTTGCAATATGGCGAGAATTTCCTTCTGCTTTACCAACCATAATAGACAAGGATCGGTGTAACATGTTAGCAAATAGTTCAACCTGGTCAAGACTAGAATATTTAACAATCTCAATTCTTTCAATGAGAAATTTGACCCATTGACTATGAGCTCCAAGGTAAGGTGGACAGGGTTGAAAAGAAGTGTTTTCTTCTGGTGCCAAAGGATCAAATTGAACTGGATCAGGTGAAAATAATCCCATTTTACGATCTACTGTAGCATTCCAAGCAGCAACAATATCTTGCATGAACTGTGAAATGAAGAGAAAAAATTATTAAATTGTTGTTCCATTAAGATAAATGACAAATAATATACCTGAAGTTCAAGATCTGGTCGGGCAGAAAGACCCCATTTCCAACATGAAATTATACAATCAATAGTTTCATGTGAAAAGAGGTAAACTGGAGACCATGCTAAAGCATGGATTAAACGCCGATCAGAGTCTCTAGTTGTAATTAATAAAGCTGTAATTTTATAAGCACAATCACGATGACCATAAACATCTTTCTCTTGACATGTAAGTTTGAATTTAGCTAAGAGATTATTCGTGATTTCTTCAGGATCTTGACGAATGGTAATCATACCATCAATTTCACCAATATAATGACTTCGAAGTGACATTGTAGCAACAAATTCTGAGCATATATTTTTAACGCAATTCGGCCAACGATCTAGAGTTGTAGATGATATTGGAGACGATAATGAATTCAATCCAGAATAACGAATGATACTTTCAGCAGCTAAGGAGAGTCCACTATGTTGAGTTAATCCAGAGATACAATGTTGATGGTTTGATAAGTAATCTTCTAAGTGAGATCTTGTAGTGTTAGGAGCCCATTTCATGGCTTCTTGAATAATTTCAGCCGATCTTGCAGCAAAATCACGCACAATACTCTGTAAATAGAAGGGAGATTTTTATGGTTTATAAATATAGCAAATGTATCGGTTAATTTCAACAATTTTCACTAACCTCTTTTGATTCCATGCTATCAGTACATTGTATCTTAAAATGGCTATTAGGTATTTCTAGTTCAGGATTTTCTTCATTCGAATCAAGTGTTAAAGATTTACCAAGTACATTAAGAATGTCTAGCATGGTGGTTAGAACTTTACTACTCCATAGTAAGTGTGGAAATTTATCAACCAAACCAGAGAGATATTTATCAGCAACTCTACGAATTTGCTTTTGCCGATGGTTAAATTTGACTAGAAATATAATTGCATATTCTTCAAGTTCAGCATCTCTCTCTTTATTGCGGGGCTAAAAGTGAAAATTAATAAAAAAGTTAGTTGGATCAGATAATTCAATCAATCTATCGAAAAATGGGCTGTTCGATCAATTATGTTTAAAGGAAAATAAAAAAGATTTAGTTAGAAATTTTGGCTCACCTTATTGGATACAATATCAAGAAAAACACGAAAAACTTTATCTGAAACACTTAAGATACATTTCCACATATCATCTTTGTCTTTTTGAATGGTAACATCTTCCAAGTATGAGAAAATGTGCATAAACTGAGATCTTCCGTTAATTTGACTTTGGACACGGAAGGTTTCTAATCGACAGACAGATAAAAGGAATGTACATTGAGCAAAGCTCAATTTATTAATGATGGGAGCGATTTCAGCAGGATTATTGAGATCATTGAGAATTTGATTTCTAATTTCTTGCAGTTCGCCACCAGAAACGGCCTCATTTCGAATAGCTGAATTGTACTGCAATTCAGATCGAAGATGCTCTCTTGATTTGAGTAAAGGTGATTTAGATGCAATTTCCTTAACTCCATCATACCATTCACGGGGCCATAAACTAGTTCCTGAAGTGAAACCCATAACAACACAATAAAGCCAAAAATCTCGAAAAAGTTTATGAAGCCTGGGCTTTGGATCGGTAATTGGAGGGAGTTTTCGTAAAAGCTAAAGTATAAAGAAAAATAGAGTTTAATGATTGCCCTTCTTAATTCAATAGATTAAAAATATTACCGTAGCAATAACTGGAATCAAAACTCCAAGGTTTCCTGCACTACTTGAGGCCTAAATAAGTAAAAAGTTACATTTGAAATGAGTGTTCAATCAATTAATTAGTATAAAATGTAATGAGAAATTTTACTTTAACTGCAGCAGGAGCTTTTTCGCTGGCTCTTTTCCCTTCCAATCCTAATTGTACAAACAGTTCCAGTAATCTAACCAGTAATTCTAGTTGCTCAGTTTCCCCTTGCAAATTTTCCGCAACTCGAGTTAATGCGTTGATAACCGGCAAGGATACATGCCTATAGATTGAAATGAAATGTTAAAAAAATATCAAATTAATTAAATTAATAACATACCGATAGGCATGTTTCCAATCATCAGGTGAGCCAACATTGTAGGCGGCGCTTGATTGCTTCGTGATCATGGTGAACATTTTCATTACTTCCTCGTAAATATGCTAAATATAAGTATTAAGATAATAAAGTGAGACAAAATTGTGTAAAAACGGCCATAATGATAAGTAATGATAAACATAATGATAAATATTACCTCACTGCTTCTGACTAACACCATATTTCCTAATTGCTCGACGATCAGTGCATCAATAGATGATGGTGGTTCACAAAATCTTTGATGTAAAAAGGTTAATATTGATTCCATGGTACGAGGTGCATCAGCTAAGTTGACTGCTAAACGCCCTAAAGTGATTATCGTATTTGTTGAGATCAGTTGTGATTCAATGTCACTTTTTTCTACGTGATAGGGATGATTAGAGACGGATGCAATGAATGCTTGGATACAATGTTGATCCACTTTGAGTCCAGATCTTAGAGCAATACACAAGTTATGGATAGCTCGGTCTCTTAGATGCTCGAAAATTACATTAGATGAATTGTTAGGGTTAATTGTTTGGTTTGTATCTTCATACGAGATAGTTATGTTCAATGTTCCTTTTCGAGTTTGAATCTCATTATTTTGCTTGTAAAGTCGCAATAGGATGGGTGACGGATTGGTTAAAAAATCACGCAAAGAAGCAATGACATCTTCTGATATATGAGGAAATTTATGAGACAGATCACCAAGTCCATCAAGGCAAGCAATCAACAGAGGATATTGTGAGCTAGCTAATCTCGATCCATGGGATGAGTTAATTTTCTCGGTCAATCCATTGCATAAACTAACCGCAGCATTTTCATCTGAAGACCAAACTAAAAGATCGATACATGCAGCAATAGTAAGAACAATTAATTTACAAGTATTAACAGGATTGTTTTGGTCCTCAGAATGATCTGCTAGTTTATTGGTGAGATCAGTTTGTCCAGAAACGTAAAGTAATTTGACAAATTCATGAATATCTCTACTGAAAGGTACAGGCGAATCTAATTCGTTTTGCAATAGCTCTCTGAGAAGTCCCACAGTTACAAGATTCAATAATTCACTTAGTGATTTGTATGGGTAAGATGAAATGGGAAGCGTCTAAATAGAAAAGAAAAAAAAATAAAAAGAGTTTGTCTCAGTTTGTTGAGAATACGAAAACGATTTCAAACAACGCTTTCATCGAAAGTTAAATGTTTGAAAAACGATAACAATACGTACTGCAGCAAAATCGAGAACTTGCTCGTCCAAGAAGAGAAGTAATTCTTTAGAAAGAAGTCGTTTAGTAATTGATAGAACCGATTGGATATGGCTAAGTGAAAAACTATATAATTTAAACGGTTTCCGAAACGATTTTTCGTTATGTTGCATGCGACCAAGTTGATTAAAACATGATCCAAATTTATAAAACAAAATTTGACTCTCTCGGTATCCACACGGAGACGAATTATTAGCTTGAGGGGAGTAGTAAGATCCTCGAACATTTGAACTAACACTGTTTAACGATAATAGATCGGCTCCTGAGTCTCGAGTAGGAAATTGTGAGTTAGCCCAAGTGGCACTGTTTGATAGAGATGAAAATGATCGAGGGCATTTTTGAAGATCGGCAGTGTTTCTTTTATTGAGAGTTCCAGTTCTAGATATTGAGTTACTAGAGCTGATCTCAGCTACACTATGGTAAAGGTCTTCCACAGGAAGATCCGATGGTTCAGGAAATAAACGGAGGAACAATGGTGTATCATTTACATCAGCCTGTGTTCGACATATAGAACGACAAGCTCCAATATAAATAGGAATAATATTTTTAAATAAATTATCTAGAAAAGGAGAAAAGAGAAGGAAAATAGGACAAATGAAGAAAAATTGATTATTACAAATCTATAGTAAACAAAGATACCAATACATACTTCTAAAATTGTTATTAACTTTACAATCAGCAAGGCCTGAGCTTGAGATTATATTTACTAGCACTGAGAGTAAGTTGACCTGTTCTGTAAGAATCTCATCTCGACAATCAGCATTGAAGCAAGAAATATCCGACAATAATGTATTCAAACAAAAGCTGAATCGCTCAGATGCCGGTATTCGGTCCGTTGAATGTAGTTTAATGTTATCCTTAATCCAAATTACCTTAAACAAACCACGAAGAAGCTTTAAAAGGTATGGAACAATCAACTCTTTTTGCTTGAATCCAGATTCGATGAAGTAAATCCCAATGGCAATAACAGTGTCCTGAGCTTGTTGATCCAAAACAAAGAGGGAATCTTCAGTTTCCAAAGGCCTGAGATCCCACAATTTCTGAAAACTGGACCCATCATCATCTTGGCATCGAGCAATGAACCGCCCGAGCCGTTGAATTGTTGGAAAATAAAAGTCTCTATCATGTGGGGGCAATCCCATGATGATTAATGAAAACACTTATTATAAATATTCACATGAATATAAATTGGTTCAAAAGCTTGACATTTGTTATTTTCCCTTTTTCTCACTCAACTTTCCCTTTCTTCTTTTTTTTCTTCCCATAGATGGCACTATGGAATAAAAACATGCAATTGAAAAACTGTAATGAAAATCTATGTAACATATGTAGCTCTTAAGATTTTGATTGTTTACTTTAGTTAATTAACAATTTATAATTTAAATTTGTTTAGGTCGTCAGTTTTAAGAGTCGATCAAGCTTAGTTCACCATAATCAATCCTTTCCGAATTGATTTTCAGTGAATTTGTTAGCTGTTACTCATTGATATCTTGGTGGACTTGACATCTATCAGCTATATTAACACATCATCTTAGCAAATCTCGTAATCAACCTACTGTTATTCCAAGTTTTCGGATAATCAATAATTTTTCACCCTTTTTCGAATGCTATAATTTATTTTGTTTTGGTGTAGCTGACCAATTTGATCTTCTGCGTGCTACTCCAACCCTTGATTGTCCTAAGATCTAACAGTTTATCTTACCGATAGTCATCTCGTTATTATCTAACTTTACATTCTAATCAATTAGTTTTTTGGAATTATTACTCAATACTGTTAATAATTCATCATGTCATTTCTGACTCAACGTCCCTCGCCAATGTTCATCTTCTCATTGGTCTTGGTATCTTATTTTCTTGTTTGTGCCGGTAAGTTTATCAATGACTCTTGTCATTTCTTTTTCATTGGTGTTTGATATTAATTTGCAATTTTCTATCTTTTATCCTATTTCAGGTATTATATATGATGTTATCGTTGAACCTCCATCAATTGGATCAACTGTCGATGAATATGGACACAGTCGTCCAGTAGCTTTCATGCCTTACAGAGTCAATGCACAGTATATTATTGAAGGTTTAGCAGCAAGCTTCTTCTTTACCGTTGGTGGACTTGGTTTCATTATTCTTGACCAAACACATAATCCAACAACACCTAAATTTAGTAGGATTTTCTTAATTTCAATTGGTTTTCTCTGTGTCACTATATCATTCATTGTTACTTATATTTTCATGAAAATGAAACTTCCGTAAGTTTCCTATTTTTTAATTTAATTGCTAAGTAACCATTTTTACAAGTAATAATTCTGTTCTTTTATTTATTCTTTACAGGGGATATCTACAGTAAAAATACAAAGGAAACATGAAAGCCGCCTTCTACTTTAAATATTTTTCTTAATTATTGGTTGTAATATTTATTGGGCATAACTTTTTGATGTTATTAAATCCAATATGAGTTTTGATACACTGGGATTCGACCAAAAGTTACTATTTTTCACCGCAATTTGAGATATTAATGTTTAAAGAAACCAACTCAAGCTAGGTACGGAATTTACAAAATTGGTTTTTAACTCTTATTCGTGAATCAGTACATGAATAAACTCAGACTTCCTATCCTTGAATAAAACCATTGATTTATGGTTACGGAATCTTCAAAGCAATCTAGAAAAATTGGAGTTTTTTCTAGCATTTTGGTGTAATTTTTTCGTAAAATTTTCATTCAATTTTTAGCTAATGGTTAGATTTGTAATTATACAGTTTCAAGCTACTTGTATTGTCTTGACTTCAATAGATTGAGTCATACAATTTTATAAGTAGGTGCATTTAATTTATTAGCTTTTGTGTCAATGTTTATGCGTTCATCATAAAAAAACCAAAATGAACATTTTGCTGATAATAGTTGGAATGGTGATTATAAATGAAACAATAAACTGAATATGATTTGTTACCAACATTAGTACTAAATGGAAACCAAAGAGTCTTTGCTTGGTATTTGGCAAAGAAAAAAGGTGGAAACATTTTCCCTGTTATTTCCCCTATAACTCTCATACTCTCATCGCTTTGCTTCTTTGGCTTTTCCTTTCATCTTTTACTTTTCTCTCCTTTTTTTTCTACATCATCTTTCTCTTCATCCTACAAATCAATCCCTCAGCTGTGAGTTTAAGAGAAAACTTGAACTGGCTGCTCAAATAATTATCTTTGGCTTCTAGATGATCATATACTGAAGACCTGTTTGACTTCTCATTACCATCAGTTTCACCTTCATCATCGCCATTATCATCATCATCTTCATCAACCTCATCAATATCGCCATCACCAGAAACACTATCAACGTTAACACTACAATATTTGATGTCAATTGTTCTCATCAAGACTGTCTTGCCCTGTGATTTTTTCCCTTGATTTTCCATCAACTTGTTCAATCTTCACTCATACTTCTTCGTCATTTCAAGTCTTGTCATCATTCTATTGTTTGCATGGACAATGTGGCAATAACCAATATCTTCCCTCTCTCTCTCTCTTTGGTCCAATGGATACTGTTTGGTTTTTGGATTAACCTTTAATCTTTGGTGCCACGGATAAACAAAACAATCCGAATACTGTCTTCGTGGTCTGATCCCCTATCAGTTTAAGCAAACACTTGACAAAATATTCAAATTTGTCAAAATAACTTAAACTAAACCTTCCAACATCAGTTAAATTTCACTTTGTTTTTGTGTTTAACCTTTACTGTTTTTATTTTTCTTGTTATTTTTGCTTCTTTCACCTTTAATTTATTGCTGTTTTATTTGTTTTAACAATCTCAAAAATTATTTTCCAACTAAATGTTATCTTTTCCAAGTATAATAAGCTAACTCTCCGTGTTCTCGACTTGTCTCGACAATTCATCTTGATCTTTGATAGCTTCCAGCTTATATTCATATGACCATGGTAATCAATGGTGAGGCCGAGAGTGTTGGTCCTTCTTTAATGCCTCAACCAAGAAAAAACTGGACCTCATTTGATAAAGATGAAGGAATCAATCAAAGCTCCGTTGAAACTGATTCAAGTGATCAAACAGTTGCTACTCTTGAGCCATCGCAAACCTTACAGATTAACCGGGAAAAAGATTCACCGAGTCGCATCATTGGAGAGAAAGGATCATTCAGTGAATCTAAGTTATCTCTATCCCCATCATCCTCATCAATAACAACGACATCCAATCGAGTCAACAATAACCTTAAACAAATAGCTTTGAATATTGAAGATTTACCAAGCAATAAGTATTCAAACTCCTCATCAATACCTGATCTGCCTTCAACATCTTCCCCATCAGCTGACAACGTAAATAGCAATACAAATGAGAGCCAATTGTCCTCTGAAATGCAGACGATCCCGTTAAAACAAATGAGCCGATCTCCATCTAAGTCTTTCAGTAAGAACCATACCGATCTTTACGAAAATGGAACAATAACAAAATGAAAATCTTTAACCTACATGAATCGATTATAATATTAGACAGATGAAGTCAGCAAATCAGCGAAAGCATAAAACTCCACAATCATCGCCATCATCAGCATTAGTAACATCAAGAAAAGTATTTCTCATGATGATTATCACAATCCTCATGAAGCCAATCGACAATTTTCCATGCTCTACCCTGATGAAATTATTAGATTGTTTACCTGTGCCAATCCCAACTCCATTGAAGGAAATTTATTTAACCCTACGTTGACAGGATAGCTTGAAGCCAATTTAATGTTCTAGGTCATATGTGGGTGAAATGGCGAGCTGTTTTTTTGGTGAATCAAGTTGTACCACTAATGAAATGTTTCCATGCTTGTTTAGTCATTCCTTTTTCTCCATTTTTTTCGTCAACCGATTAGAGTCAGTGATAGAGAACCTTAGGAGTGAAAATGATCAAGACAACGCTGAACTGGTTTGACAACATTTTATCCAATCATTTGACATGATTTTCAGCATGACGATTGAACAAGATATATAAGAAGACAAAAATTAAACAGTCAAACAAATTATCTGCAATCACCTTCAGTAATGATTAGCTTTTTACAGTTGGAACCAGCAAAAAATAGGGAAAACGAGTGAGACTCGAAAACATCTAATCCTGTAACCTTAACTTATGAATTATTTTGAGCATCAAGAATTGAGTGAAATAATTTCAAGGTTATTCGATCCTGATTTCATCAGAAACTGTTAATACTTTGTTCTTACCTTTGCCAAAAGGTTGTTAATCTAGTCTTGTTACAAATCAGTTGATCACTTTTAATCAACCTCTTTTTGGCTTGAATTGCTTTCTTTCTCATTTTCCAGTCTCTTATCATTTCAACAAATCAATTGTTACTCAGATTTCTCCATGTTATCATTTAGAGATCTCTTTGTTTGCTCTGTATAACCGGAAAAGCTTCATTTCTGTGAATCATGGAACATTTATTGAAATTTATTGCGTTTTGAGGGACAATTTAGAGTTTTATTTTACCACAAACATCCTTTCAAAATTGCATCTTACTTTCATTAAGAGCAACCATTGAAAATTATGTTAACTTGCTCATTCGATATTGAAGCGAAATTTGAAGCTCATTGTACAATCTGATTTTACATTAATAGCTTTAACCAGATTTGTAATTACTTGAATATGGTTAAGTAATTCATCTGACAATTACTTTTGCTGATGGTAGCTTTGATGTTATTGTCTGATATGTTATTTTACCAGCAATGATGTTGCTGCCAACATGTCTCATGTTTTCATAACAACAATTTAATATTGTTTTTACCCTTTTCTCCTTGCAATCAGATAATGGTGATGTAATTGTAAGTTTGATGCCATTGAATAATCACTGTGCATGGTTGACTCCGGCCACATTTAAACCTGAATTGGTTCCTGAGGAATTAATGGAAAGCTCATTACAGGTAAATAAACTGCCCTTTCAAAATCCATTTCAATTTATCAAGATTCCTTTTTTAACATTCTCGTTTGTTCTTTACAGCTAACCGTTGAAGATTATGTCGGAGCAATGCAGACTTTGGTCAATGATTATCGTTTCAATCTTTACATTATTTTTTACAAGCGAGTTATGGTTGTCTGGGTTGTCCTAGGATTCATCATTTTACTGTCGCTCCTTTTTTCCGGTGCAAGAGGCTTACCTTTATTTGCAGGAGGAATCGTTTGGCTCATTGTTAATGCTTTTGGCGTCTTCTTTTCCATGTGGATAAAATGCAAGGTAAATTCAGTTGATCTTTGCTTAGCTGTGTCAACTTGGTTTGATCCTTGATTACTAATATTTCCTCATTTTATCTAATTCTATCTCTTTATTTTTATTACAGTTGATGCGTATGCTGGAACGATGTATTGCTCGAGTTAATGAAATTTTTTACAAAAATAATATTTTATTGGGTGTCGATGATAAAGGCAAAATTTCCTGTCATAAGATTAACCTTGTTTTTGTCTTTTTTGATAGTACCTATTGTATTGTAAGTTGATTTATAAATATGTTTCTCACTGGTTACCCAAAGTTTAACCTAAATTTCATCTTATCTGTTTACTTTCCTGTTTAATTTTCTTACAGAAATATCTTAACGATTTGATTGCAAATGAAGAAAGATCTCGGGAAACATCTAATCAAATTACAATGCCAAATCTCAATCATTTGAGAAGTGATATTGATGCCACTGATATTATTGTTACTGGCAGTACACCAACAAAATATTCACAACGAGAGGTAAATAATGGATACTTTCATGGGTCATTTTATACAGTGAATGCTTGAAAGTTGAAACTCAAACTAATTGTTTCTCTTCTCTCTTTATTTACTTTGCAGAAATTTGGTGAAAAATTACTTTTAAGATACAGTCAAAGATGGATTCGTGATCATAATCGGTCAAGAGCAACATTAACCGTCCCCTTGTATCCTGATGGGACTGATTTTACACCAATAAGCCCAAGACATTGTGCTACTTCAAGGTGTCCATGTCAATATATTGAGGAACATTTGAAATTCAAACCTTTAACAAAGTGCAGTTTGAAAGAGCTTTTTTGTTAAAACATAAGCTTTTTTCTACAATAATATACATTAGTTTATTATTCATTTTCGTCTCACATTGATAGCAATAAGTATCGTTTTAATGTTTAAAATTAATATTAACATTTTTCCAAATAGTCAATTTATATACAATCACTCATCATCAGGCCAACAAGATTAACGTTTAATTGCTCAAAAGTTGCGCACCAAAGAGGAATATGGCTTATTTAATTATACAAAGCAACATTGACGAAACCTCTAAGATGTAATAATAAAACCTAAATTTGAGGATGAGTGTTAACTCATGTGTTAATAAAACTGTCTATTATTAATAGATCAATCATTTAGATTATTAACTTGATTTTTCTTTCTTCAAATTTCATGGTTTAAAGGCGCTAAAAATTGATGCAATTTAATAGTAAATAATAAAGTGAAGATGAATCTAAACTCCAATCTCATCTGATATTAAACTTTGATATCGGTTGTTTTTCAAAAGACAGCAGTCATGATACCAACATTCATCATTTCAATCACCTTTCAAATACTTGAAGGTATCACGAGTTCAAGTTTGCTTATAAAAGTGAACATTAAGAGCAAATGTTTAAGATTGCTTTTTAATTTATTTTTTTATTTTGTTTCAAACTGCAGCATATTTAAAGCAGACTTTTTGAGTTGAGGGTACTGCTTGGTATTCTTTAAATTTTTCTTGATTATCTGTTTGGTGTCCTTAACCTAATTATAATGGCACCGAAGGGGATAAGCATGAGCCTTATGATTTGCTACCACCGAGGGTTTCCTTGTCGAACATGTATTCACCAAGACCAGCTCCAACACGTCGTAAGTTGGTGATATAATCACTGATTTCCTTGATGGATTCAACTTGTTCAGTAAGGAAGTGGTTTTCCAAGAAATCGCAAAACTAAAATGATTCAGAGATGATACAGATAGAGAAAGAAAATAATTAGTAAAGGTGAACAAAGAATTTTAAACAATAACAAAATCAGTTAATAGTTTTGGAAGTTTGTTTATCCAGCAAACAATAAAGACTTGATAGTCTTGATAGAGTGTTCAAAAGGGTATATTGTTCTCATGTATAAGGAAAATAAAAAATGGTCAAAAGGAAAACTTTAATAATGAACAATTGATCAAGATCTCAATCACTAATATTTTCATTTTACATTAACCATTACCGTAGTTGAGGATGGAATTACGAAAGTTTCAATAATAGTGATTGAGATCATCATGATAACTGGAGACTATTGTTTGAACTAGTATGGTTGCTGAAAGCTATATTATAAAGTTTCGATAACTCGATTGTCGAGAATAAGAGGTTAAATAGTGGTGCACAAATGGTTAATGGCGATTGAAAGATGCGATATTAAACTATTTCAGCCCATGGCAAGCTCACGACTAAACCACTTCCTAACAATCGTTTTGTTTGCAAAATGGTCAGCTATAACATTCGGGTCACATTAATGATTGTGAAAGTTTCATTGTAAGCACTGATGTAATCAAAATGCTCAAATCAAACATTTCGTATCATAAAGTGAAAGATATATCTCTATATCATGCAGCTGGTTTAAACTATCCAATAAGGTTGCAATAATTCATTAATTACCTGGGCATCTCCGTGTTGACCAGCCAATGAGTGCAAATTGAGGAGGGATTGATTAACAGTTTTCTCCAGCTCCAAAGCAGCTTCCATGGCGTGAAGTCCAGAGTCCCATGAGTCTCGGGCAGGTTTCTTAACATCTTGTAAGACAATTCGTCCTCCTCTCTGGTTTTGCAATTTCATTAAAATTTGTGCGTGTTCTCGCTCCTCATCGGAAGCTTTCTTAAAGAACTTAGCAAATCCTGGAAGTGCAACATCATCTCGGTCAAAATGGTAGGACTGAAAAAAATAGCAAAGAAAATTTTAATTCACTGAAGGTTATATAAAAGGAATCTAGAAAAACAGGTATAAAAACAATAACAATCACTTGATAACACATTGAGGCTCTAATTGGAAAGCATAAATTTTCTGCCCGATCATGAGATCATCAAATTTCGAACTAAATAGTGAAGACATCTGGTAAATTAGTGACAGAGATTCAGAAAATGAGAATTCTGTAATTTACCAAAAGCTAGAAAAAATTACGCATTAGGTTTTGTTACCAGAGCTGACTAACTCAGGGAAAAATGCTGCAAACAAAGACAGGTGATGAAACTGAGGAGCAGAATTGAGTCAACCCTAAACCAGCCGATATACAATATGAAATCAAAGCAATTATATTTTCAAATAACTGTTATTGTAATTTTTAAGGTCAATCCAATGGTAAAAAGGGAAGCAAATGAAATAGAAACATACCATTGACAGATAAGCATAAGAAGCATAAAGTTCCAAGTTGATTTGCTTGTTGACACCAGCCTCAGTATCGAGGTGGTAATTTTGTCGGCATTGGCTTACAGGTCCAGACATCTTGGTGATTGGTAAGTTGTATTAAATTGTAATAACGAAGAAATACAAATTAAAGTATCAAGAATAGCAGCAGAAATTAACAATGGCGTTGTTAAAAGGAGAGAGTAAGAGCAGCTTTATAAGCAGAGTTTGAAAGATGAGAAAGGTTATGAGCCTGTATTGGATAAAAGAAACAAAAGAAACAAGGTTTAGTCAACAAATTGAATCAATACTTACATTAGTGAAATCAACAACGGGTAATCGTAAGGTGATTAAATTAAGGTAACATTAGCAAAATAACTCACCTGTGGTTGTACGATGGGCACTCGCTGGTGTCGCTGGGTCGTCCAATCCACTTGAGAGGTTGTTTGAGAGTAAAGTAACGAATGAAAACAGTTGTTCCTGATGTTCCTTATAAAGGCGCACAATACAACATTGAGACTCCCTAACTTTCTCCCTTTTTTTAACTCTCTCGATCTCTTTCACTTCAACCATGATAATAATCATCATCATTATTAATAACAGTGCCATCTTGTTAATCAATAAAATCATCAATAATTACCAACATCACTTGTTCATTGGATAGTAATCACACAAATCATCTCGTGATCCCTTGTCCATAGCACTTGTATATCTTTTACCAACTTATCTAATAACAACTGCATCCACTTTCATGATCTTTTAGCCTTTTAATTATGCTCAAGCAGATTGAATATCAACTCGAGTGCTGATATATTTCTTCTTATCCTTTCTAATAATAAAATCTTCATGGACATTGTTCAAAAATTTAAAGATTGTCCAGTTTTGATCATAAATGGCCAGGAGTCACTTGGAGTCGTTTCCTGGGTTTCTCATTAAATTTTGCCATTCAGTTTTCAGTTGATAAATATTCAAATCTATTTTAAGTCAAAATTTCTCCAAATATGGTTCAACTCTTTGAAAAACACCCATTTTAATGTTGCAACTGAGATTCTATCTTTTCTTCAGTCCATATTTTTCAGTCAAGTCCATAGGTTAACCATTCTTTGACAAGTATAATTTATCTCTTTATCTCTGGATTTATCATGAAATTATAAATGAGGAATTAGAGTGAATTAGTTTTGAAAACATTGAAAGATAAGTGTATTGAAAAATAGTTGACTTTTGTTAAGTAACATTAACTGATCGGTTAATTTCCTATTGGTATTGAGTGCAAAACACTTTCATACTATTTACAGTTTCTCTATTTACAGTTAATCAAGTTCATACAAACCTCATGATGTATTAGATAATTATTGATCTTAAAAATTTTAAGACTAATGATTCTTGCAGATTGTTATTAACTAATTCACTGAGGAGTGTTGTTCACTTGATACATATCATAATGATCTAGACAATTATAATACTTGTATCAAAGTTGATTGAAAATAACTAACAATTATGTACTTGATGTATTTCATAGGATTAATTGTGGATTGGTTTTCCTAATCTAAAAATACTGTGAGATCCAAGAAAGATAAGTGAATCTTTAATATTTGATATGCACTAGAAATACACTAAATATAGTTGAAAGATTAACTTTGATTATCGAGATAACTGAACAATCAATCAGGTCAAATATCGAAATAATAAAAATCGAGAAAAGGTTCAATAAAATAACATTTTCTTGGCTAAAACAGCGAAATTATGAAGAGACAATTGAAAGCATTTTCTGGTAAAGAAATGATTTTTATATTTAGGTAAAACATGTGATTAGTTTAAGGCACACAAACTAAACAAGCTAACAGCTTATGTGTTTAACCAGGTGTTTGTCGTTGTAAATTCATTCTCCGAATTTAACCTGAAACTATAATTAATCACTTATTTAGTTACCTTTTTATTTTTGAATTTTGTGCATATTTAACCTTTTACAAATGGAGAGTAAAGCTCAAGCTTCCGTTCACCAGGCTAGGAGACTGTTGAGGCAAGGTTATCCCACGAGCTTCTTTAAATGTCTACCTCAAGTAAGTTACCTTTTTATTTATTCATTTTTTTCATTGATTTGACCTTTTTTAATGTGCATTTACTGTCTAATTATAACTCCAATCGTTAGTGACACTTCCATTCATCCATTGGAACATGTTTGAACTCTATAGTTGAAGTAATTTTGATTCTGATTTTTCTTCTCTCCTATTTTCAATGTCTTAGGTTACCGCCTATGGTCAATGCATATCATCCAAGGAACTGACGGATATTAAACAAAATGACTGTGTTCAACAATTTAATCAACTGAAAAAGTGTTTCTCTCAACAATTGCATCAATTCAAAGCTGTTAAATAATTAATATGTCTATTAGTGATTAAGAAAAAAGATAGAATAAGAGCCACTCTAAATTTTCTAGTATCTCAACATATGATTGCTTTGTATTCACATTTCACCCATTCTCAGAAATAACCTTTCACCACCAATCTGTTTTGGAAATTAAACGAATTTTCACTCTCTAATTAATCATGATGGACTCATCTTCTGATGATGATGTGAATAATCTTTCTCATGATGACTCTGAAGAAGAGGAAACTAGTGCACCCTTTACTGACTACGAAAATCCAAATTATCGTAAATTGTATGCCACTCTTTCGGTTACTACCATGATGGGATCTAAAGTTGAATCGAATGCAGATAATGATACAGATGATGATGAAGAAGTCGAAGCTGATGAAACTACAAGGCTTACCAATGATGGTGAAAGTTTACCTGAAGGATGGGAAAAACATGAAGATGACAATGGTCCTTACTATTGGCATATACCTAGGTTTGTAATCCTTGCTAAATAACAGCTGTACAAAAGAGAGTTGTTTGCTAATTTTTAATCTCAATATTTATTTATTTTTGCAGTGGAACAATTCAAAGGCAAGTGCCTACTAAAACCCTTTCTAAACGAGATTCTATATTTTACTTTGATGATGATGGTTTGGACAAATTAAGGGAACAAGTTTGTAAAGAACATACTTTGGATGAAAATTTTCCTGGAGGTGATGATGTTTTCACTGTCCATTCTTTGGGTTGGATGGAATTTGATGAATCTTCTCTGACTCCAGAGCTTAGTTCTAAAGCTATCAAGCGATGTATTCTTGAACTTACAACCCAAACAGAAAATGCCGTTAGATGTTGGGGTAAAGAAGAGACCGCAAAGCTGACTTTAAAGATAGAAAATGGTTGTCTTAAATTACTTGATCCAATCAGTAGTAAAGTTCTGACTATACAACGGATTTCCAATATTAGAGTTTGGGGTGTTAATGATGTTGATGATTTTGCCTATGTTGCCCGAGATCCTGATAGTGAAAATAGTTTGGGTAAACCTTCAACTCCAACTAATCCTCATGACTCTCCAGTGGTACAGATTCTCAAATGTCATGTATTCCATTGTGAAAGCTTGGGAGAATCTGAAAGTTCAGCCCAAAAAATAGCTAATTTACTAAAAGAGGAAATGATACGAATCAAATCTCAACAAAATCTACCCAAAGATAATGATAAAGGTGAAGTAGGAGAAGAATGCCGAGACTTAGCCATTAGACCAAACCAATTATCAATTGAGGAATACACTGGTTCACCTATGGAATCACCTTATCTAGAATTTCCAACTCCAATTGAGGAACCAAGAAAAACTATTGTAGCTCGTTATTTAGGAAAAACACCGGTTCCAAAGCCTACAGGAGTTGATATTCTCAATGAAGCTATTGATAGAATTGTTTTTGATCTCGATAAAGCTTATCCAGATAGAAAGTCGGCAGCTTTTGGCGAAGAAAAAGAAGGCCGTGGAATAATTTCTCTGGTTCATATCTCACCATCAACTATTACCGTTGAATCAACTGTTGATGGTAAAATATTAGTTGAATGCCGTGTCCGTTATCTTTCATTCCTTGGTATAAGTAAAAATAATGTTGAAAATTGTGGTTTTATCCTGCAAGTTGACGATAATCTTTATGAAGTTCACTGTTTTGAGTGCGAACCCAGTTCTGGTGCATTGTGTAAAACCATTGAAGCTGCTTGTAAATTGAGATTTCAAAAATGCTTAGATGCCCATAAACAAAGATGCAGTCAAGCTATTTTCAGTGGAAATCAACCCAAAACAACTTCTCCAGTATCTTCATTCCGAATGAAACCTTCACAATCGATGGGTGCCATCAAAAACTCTTTAATAAATGCCTTTTCCAAACTGTTAACCAAAGGATAAAACCTAATCATCACAGCACATATTAGAAGCTGGATACCATTTTAAGGACTAGAACAAGATTGTCAAATATAGCCAAATAATCCATCGTTGTATCATCACCTATTCAGCTTGAAAAAATTATCATCCCAAGAACAACTTTCATGATTGACTATTAATTTTTACACTTACAATTTTAAAGTTGATTTCATTTTCTTAATTTAACCTAATTTGCCAAATCACTTTGTCTAACATGTATTTTCATTTATAATTAACTGTGTACTCTTTTTTAAGGCAACTTCAAAGTAACTGCTAAATCATCAACAATAACAGCAAGTCTATTGTTCCAATCATTGTTGTGTTTTCTAAGCTTAACAATATAAACGCTTATCTGTTAAAATTTAATTTATCCTACATGGATCAGTTATTAAAGATACAAAGACCCTTAATCATTGAAAATGACTTGAGTTTTCAAAGGATTACGACCAATTGGCAGTTGATTTCTTGTGATTACCAATTCGTGTCAATTCCGTTTTTTGTCGTATAATGTCTGAAGATCAACGAAGACGTCGACATAAAGATGATGATGAGACTCGCGAAAAGCTGAGAAGGAAATTATCTTTAAACAACAAATCAACTGATAACCAATGCACAATTTGTCTCAACAATATTCGTGATTTATCTTTTGCTGATTGCTGTCTTCATCCATTTTGCCGTTTCTGTATTATTGAATGGTCTAAGCGATCAAATCATTGTCCAGTTTGCCGAACAGTATTTGACAATATATTGACCAATGTTAAATCAGACTCTGAGTATGAAGCCATTCCAATTGAACCGCCACCATTGCCATTGAATACAATTCCATTGATCAATATTGTACGAGATATAATAGTTTCCCAGGATGGTCGAAGTACGCTTATAAGAACAAGAATCAGCAACGATGAAGGAGTCACTGAAATAACCGAAACCAGAGCTGCAAATGAAACAACACCAACATCAACTAATAATGAAGGGACAAGAGTTGAGCGCGGTAAGTCATGAATTGCTGTCTTTTTAGGTTCACGGTTATTTAACATTTACATTTATTACCTTATTACAGATCCTAACCAGCCGGTCACTAACCCAGCGATTCCTAATAACCAGTCAACTACCGAAATTGAAGAGATTGGCCGATTTATGGATGTACTTTTTCACACTTTATTGGCCCCAGAACCATATTCTGCCATTGCTTTAATTGAAGAACCTTCACAGCCACTTGCCCGGCCTAGAGCACAAGGGCCACGTCCATTTTTCCCTCCACCTATGATGATACCACTACCACGTCTTGGACCAAGGCCTTACTTTCCCCATGCCAAACGTGTACCAGGAGAGTTTAATTATCCGAAATTTGAGTGGCCAAAGTCAACAATTGATAACCGAAGAGGTAGAAGTGGAATTTACAGGTTTCCAACTCGAAGCAATCGTGGGTCAACCAATTCATCTACAGCACCAACCAGACCATCATCTCATATTGACTCTACTCCAAGTTCAGAGGACAACCAACAAAATAGTCAAAATCAAGAATCAAATAGCAAAGAGAGATCTCGAAGACGCCGGAAAAAACCTAATAAAGAGGAACCACCTAAAGATTAATCAATAGATCATCCATTTTAAAATTTTCATTTTCCCCCAATTTCTCAAAAATCATCTCTAATTAATTATTTATCCATTTTCAATATTTTTGTGGTTATATTTGAAAGATCAATGATAATCTTAATAATAATTCAGTGACTGGCATTTATTTATATCAAATACTCGGCAACTAAGTATTGTAATAGAGGGCAAAGAGGGCCAATCCTTGTTAAGGATTATATCAAGGGTTAATCATTGTAAATTATCGGGTTTATGTCTTAATTTTGATGACCAGCAAAGTGGTTTACTGTAATCAGTCATGATTTGTCAAGGTAACATAATTTTGACAATGTGAGGTGCATTATTATACTGAATGGGCGAATCTGGATCATGTCTTAGATTTCAACTTTAATGGCTACATTTAACAAGGTTGAAGAGAAATTTTTTGTCAAAATGAGTGTAAATTGTTGTTTTCACGGACTAATGGTTCCTATGTTAGAGTGACTATTGTCGCCCTTAGACACCCATTTTTTTTGTTTCTTAAACTGAAATGTAACTTGAAGAGAAACTCTTAAATTGTTCATTTTTTGATTGTCTTTCTTTTGACAGTCTCACAATTAATCTGGTTGTTTATCTGTATTCATGGAGATGTCAACAAGAAAATCTTAATCCTACAAGAAAAACTGTCAAACAACAATCACAACAGTAAACAAGACAACTTTCAGTGTTGTGATCTGATTTTTCAATTTTCATTTCACATCAACACCTAATTCTGTTTACCCGATTCTGCCAATTCTTAACAACTTTCAATGTTCCCAACTATTAAATACAGATCAAATGGTTAGTTGATTGTTACAAATGATAATCGATTGATGAAAGATTGGGAATGGAGAAGAACATTTTCTCACAATTATAGATGACTGATCTCTTGTTTATGGCAACTTGGATAGCAATTTGATTATTAATATAAATAAATGAATATAACAAGATTACAAGGTGAGAGCCAAAAAAACGAGGAAAAATAATTGAAACAGAAATTGAACAGTTAATGAATGAAACCAGATTAAGGGCAAAAAAGCATCAAAAAAGTGCAACAGAAATGATGAGAATGAGTAAGGTAGTGTTGATGATCGGTAGAGATGGTGAGCATCGGTAAGTTTCAATTGAAAAATTGAAGGTAACCTTGATTAACTGGAAGTGTAAAGAGTGAAGATGAATTCCGAAAAAAAACAGAGTTGAAAGAACAGGAAAACATGTTGTTCATGGTAAGGGTCAGATGAGATTCAAGTACAATCGGAACATGAAACTCATGGATAGAGATGATAAAGAGCTGGATAGAGAAGAGAGAGAAAAAAGGTTTCCTCTTCTTCTTCTCTGTCTTATAAGTCGAGGTCCACTGAGAATGGCCGTTCACTAACTTGACCTGGCTTAGGACCAGATATTACAAAACAAAACCAGTAACATTTTATTCTGGTTCAAGTAAGAGAAGCTTTTTTCTCTTTCTTTTTCATTCCCCTTTCTTCATTTCCCTATCTTTCTCTTTCTCTCTCATCCAATGAGTGACTAGCCATAAGATTGGCCCTGGCAAGGTAAAACCGTCTGCTTTTGCTGTTACCCATTGCTTGCTAATTGTTCAACTTTACCTTTTTTTGTGTCTTGCATTTTTTTCAGTTGACTTTATTGATTTCGTTTGTTTTTTTCCTGATGGTTCTTCATCATGACAATTTATAACTTCTAACAATCGACTGTGTTGATTGTGATTTGTATTAGTTGTGTGACAACAGTTGAAGGTACAAGAAAAGAGAGGAGATAAAAAGAGAAAAGAAAACAACTTTATTTTCTTTTTATTTAGCTTCTCACCAACATTCACCAACAACAAAACCTTCACCATCATTTTTACCTTCTCTACTTTTTTGTTTGTTTCTTACCTTTTATTGAATACTCAAATCATCATGGTTATTACAGATTCTCTCGTAATCTTATCTACATTCTGGTATTATTCAACTCATTACATTAATGTTATCAACTAGTGGACCCTTGATTAATCTTTATACAAGCTTGTAACAAACATATCTGGTTCCATCAACTATTCAAGTAATAAGCCGGTATCGTTTTGGTAACTCATTTCAACTTGTCCTGTTATTGGATCCTCATTTCAAGATTATAAATATTTTTCAACTTTTTTGGTGATTTAGTTTTCCTATTCTATCTCGGTGTCTACTATATCGTCTACTATGATTTTGAACAGATTATCTTCACCGGTGTCAACTTACCTTTTTTTGTTTGACTAATCTATTAGTGTTGTCTCAACTCATAACCCGGTTTTACCTTCTACTCGTCTTTTCTTAAGTTGGAAAAAATCACCATAAGTTATCAATGGAAAGAACTAAAAGAATTGCTGCTTTCATCACATTTTTCATTTGTATTATTGCCCTTGCTCTGTTGACTGGTTCCTTGGCTACCAATAAATGGATTACATCGAAGCCCGAAAGGATCAAGTTAAATAATGTACCAGATCATATTCGTAATCAAAGTGTACAAAATGATGAGAGAAAATTTAGAGGTGAAATCCATTTTGGATTGTTCCATGGAACTAAAATACTCAACTATGGTTTTGGAGACCGAACCAATACTATTTGGAGTGAGTTAATTTTAAACAATTTTACTTGTTAACATGTTTACCCCTAACTTGGTTACGTTCACTCATCGGTTAGATTGTCTATTTAATTGTGATTGATCGCAATTATTTCAATGTTTCCCCTATTCGTCAAAAACAAACCCAACTTGTGGCTATGCACGGGTAAACATTGATAGTTGAAAATAATTTTTATTGAAACTCATTCCATTAATTTCAAAATTATAATTATCTTCACCCAGTGACGGGCGTTATCCATTATAAGTAATGGCAGTGTCATAACGACTGCAAACAGATTAGTTCACAATCTGCAATTTTAAGGTCTTCCATTATTGTCCTGAAAATTTACAAAACCAACTTCCAGCAGCAGCAGGTAACAATCAACATTAAAAAATAATTAGACCAAAAGGAACAAAGAGAAAACTATTTCCATGACTTGAATTGTTTTTCATTTAGAACCCTCATTGAATAAAGAAAAGAACGTCCAGGTTAAACAATCTTAATAAGCTTCTTATTAATTAACTAATCTTTGTTTTATTTCCTCTCTTTACATGCAATGTTCACCATATTTACCTGGTCACAGTTAAAGAAGAGTTGATGAAAAATCCAAGTTTAATGCCTTTCGGATTGTGGTTATTTACAATTCTGTCCGTCGCTATCGCCATTTTATTTGGTATTGTGAGCTTAATATTTTCAATAATCAATACCGTTATAACGCCAATCGAAGTGATCACCGGACTTCGTGGCCTATTCCTTTGGAATGGTTTCGGCGGTAAGTTTAATAAGTTGCCTTCTCTTCCTCTCTTTAATATCAACATCAACTTTTCATCCTCCCTCCTTTATTTCTACCTTTATTGTCTTCCCACTTTACCAACTGAAAAATTCATCCCTTCATTCAGCTTCAAGTGACCTTAGCTAATGATTTCTCTCTTCATTTAACTTCATCCATTTTAATGATGATGTTTAACCAAATGAGTGACTGAATAATGTAAATGCATACCATACCATGTAGGATGTTATATCATTCCGGTTATCATTCCTATTCAAATCTGGTTGTTCACCAAAAGTAGCATCCATAAATCTCTTTCAATGAACTTTTTTTTATACAAATCAAATAATGAAACAATTTTTCCGCTCAGATAAAGCATTGAACTGAAGACAAAAAAAGAGTAAAATGTTTCAATACTTACAACTCATCACTTTATATTTAAAATTTTTAGTAAATTTTCCATTAATTGTTAACCAAGATGATAGGTTATTTAATATTCAACATTTTCATTTGAAAAGATCATGTCAATTCGATAACATTTCATGTTCAATTTCAGGCTCATCAAATATCTATCAATATTCAACATTTTAACACTATTGTTGAAGAATCATTAAATGTTGATAAATTTAGCAATTATCAACTGTTTGAAATGGATATGCAAAAACATTTCATTATCAAGATTACCATGAAATTGATGGAAATTAGAGAAAATGTTAAAGAAAAGCTAAGAGTCTAAATGATTCATCAATGCTTATAATCTATTCAGGTTTACATGATAAACTGAAATAATTTTTCTACTCAATTAGCATTGCATAAGCCAACAGATTTTCCATGTAAATTCATTCTCAATTCATTTGAATATCAAGGTTTGTTAAATTGATTCTTTAGATAACTGTTGATGGGTTGATGCATCCATTGAAATGAAAAAAAAGGAGTGATGAATGGCCATTTAACCGCATCAATTTTCCTTCTGTTGATATGAAAATATCATTTTTGAGATTCTTTTTTCATTGCAAAAGGTTGACTGCTACCTTTTTTGATAATAATAAAGGTTTTAGCAAAATTGTTGGCAAAAAAGCCTTGCAATAAAAAGGCATTTATATTTAGATTACAATGTTCAAAGGAGATGGATTTTGGTGTTCATCATGCAAGGCAAAACAAGTTTTCTATCTATTATGCTCATCTATCCATTTTTGCCCATTTGACAGGGTCAGTTTTGGTTTCATTTATGGTCTACTTGGTCCTACTCTAGACCAGAGACAAATTTTCTGTTCTCACCAAACTTGTACAAATCTGGTTACAATGGTTACCTAACTACTGACAACCTTGTTTATACCTTTTATCTCCTTACCTTGTTGGCTTATTTGTCGTGAGAATCGTTCATCTCTTTTAGCCTCACAGAGAAAGTATTTCATACATTTTTCAAGTTTAACAACAAAAAAGGTCTAAACCTTTCAGACTTATTTGGTAACCTTTCCAATCAATTATTATCAGCACGATATCTCTTTTCAAATATATTACATTCATCCATCATTTTGATTTTTTGTTGCTAAACTGTTGCTTTTTACCTTTGACCAGTTTCCCTGAAGCACCATTATTGACCTTTAAATATTTTCTCATCCCTTTGACCTTATTATGATTCCTATTTTTATCCAATATCCATTTCATTTGCGTTTCTTTTCCTCAAAAACATTGCTCTTCTCAAAGTAAACTCTCATTTTTTGCTATTAGGTTTAATTTAAATTGCAATTTCCTTTAAACAAAAATATGAAAAATCCATAAACTCAGCTGAATAAATAGAAAATTTTCTATTAGTTTCTGTGTAAATTATTGATGAGGAAGTCTGAATAATTTCATTCCGATCTTCCGGTTGTTGATTATAAAAAACAGCTTCTAACAAACTTCCTTTCTATTTTAATGAACCGCTGAAGAAATATTCAATTTTTTTTGCCTCTATTGGATATTATGTTTTAATATTGATTTTCAAGTTAATTTAAGAAACAATTTATCCAACTATTGATTCCACCATTTATTGTTTAGTGATTTTCGGACAGAAACATTGTGTCTTCATAATTGCGATCTTACAGTTGAAGTTGATTTGATCCTCAAATATTTTTCCCATTTGCGTGAATGAAAACAGACATCTGTTTTGACATAACAACTGACGCTGCCACGATTAGAGTCAATTAAGAATAAATTATTTGCTTGAAATTTGATTGTTCACTGTCAAATTGCCCTTAATCAGCTCAATTTCATTTACTGTGACCACCAGAAAAACCGCAACATTGAAAAAGGTCAAGCAATTTGATTACTTTTGATGCTTCTCATTTTCACTTGAATCCTGTGTGTTTTGACCTTATTCAAACTACCTTTAAAGTGTATTATTGTCCAATTATTTTGATAGAAGCTGTTGTTAATCAAGAAGGTCAATCAGTAAATGAGCGATGAGTATCAACTCAAATCAACACAATTACAAATGATCCTTTTTTTGTATTTCATTTCAATTTCATTTACTCAAACCTTTTGCTTACCTTTTTTTGCAGCAATCTGCATCAATAGAGATTTGGTTTTCTGTCATTTCTATTGAAATCGATTGTTGAATTTTTTCACCATTCATTTGAAAACTAGTTGATTATCAGTCAAACAAAATAAACGACGATATAAATCACGGTTGCGTGAATTGAACAAGTAATGCAACAAAAAAAACTGAGCAACACCAATGTCAATCGTTATTTTCAAATGCAGGTTATCAGTGTCTACATTGACACTCAACTAGTCTACTTTAATTGTTAACCATTAACTTGAGTGAAAAGATGAACGAAATAAAACAATAAATCAGCAGATTGAATTGAATTTCTTGGTAAAACCGATTCAAGTTTACCACTAAATCAACCTTCATCCAGAGTAGCAAAAAAAAGGTTAATTAACTGATTCTTTGAACACCATTCGTACCTTTTTTGATTGCTTTTGATCGCATTTCTTGCCAACCCAAAGTCACGCTTTTGTTAACAACTGAAAAAACATAAAATTTGTCACTTTCAATTTTCCAATATTTCATTCATCAACTGATTGTTGGAAAAGCCATTTGAATTTAAATCATTTCAAACCATTGAAAATTGATTATCAAATGAACTAACAAATTTCTCGCCTCTTTACCGATCTACAGATTTGACAATCAAAGTATTTAATTTTGTTTCAATTGATTGCTTCTCCATTCCTTAATTAAATTTTGCTCCTCAATGCAATTCTTAACAAGAAACTGATTTATTTCACCAGCCTTTCTAATTTGATTGCTGAACCTTTTTAGTTAATTGTTTCCTCAACCACATTGACAACACTTTGAAAACTCTTCTTTAGTAACCTTTGATTTTAACTTTGAAACTATGAATGGATTCTGTTGAGGCTATTTATACCAATTGTTGAATTGGCGTTGAAAAGGTTGTATTATGTTGGAATTTGAAAGTTTTAGTTAGTAATTGAAAATTCTGGTTAGTTTCTGGTGTTTATCAGATTGAACACAATCATGTATTCATGTTAAAAAGACGGTAAAAGATTATTTGATGAACACCTTTCACAAGTGAAAACAGTTTACTCAGTAATCACATTTTGATCATCATTAAAAGATCTCAAGATTTGAAACTCTTGATAAATTAACAGTAATACTTGTGATGCGTATTTTTATCTTGAAACTGTCTTGAATCTTGAGCCTTAATACTGAAAGTAAGTTCATTAACTTGATAACTTTACGATTAAATGTTAAACAACTTGACCAACTTTTGCATTAAAAGCCAGAAAATTGAAAACTTTTCTTAGAATGACATCAATCAATGGAAGCGCCAACTTGAGGCAATTTCATGATTTATTGATTGCATTACAATTATTGAGGTGTTGATGTTGATCAACCACCAATTTGTCCAACAATGTTTCAATAAGGTTTTGTAATTTAATAATTTTCACAGTTCGCTGTGGTTTTCAACATTTTAATTGTTACTTCTCTCACAATATTCAATAATCTTTACCCTGTAATTAGATTTTCAAGTGTTTCCTCAATCATTGAAACAACTGACATAAATTTAACTCCTTTTTGTAGCTTTTAAAGTGATTTGCCAAAAACTTTTGTAATAATTATCATAATTATCAGTTTTTACTCTGTTGATTCCAATTGTAAAAAAATTCCTGTTGAAAGGGTTTGTTAATCAGCAAGCTTGACAGCTGTTCATCTCAACTTGCTTTTCATCATTGAGTATTTAACTTGTTAAAGTTGGTTATAAACATGAGCATCAAACCAGCATTTTCAAGTAGATACTGAAATTAAAATTTAAATTGCATTAGCTGCTCTTCAATTCAATTAGCAATACAATCAAATAAACAGTTTAACAGTTGAAATTGTTCTTACCAGAAGAAAACTTTCGGAATCTAATTTATAAATTCCGCCTGTACTGAACCCGATTCTAGTCAAATTGAGTCGTTCACAAGTCATCAATAGCTGTAATTATAAGAAAGTAAAGTTATAAGTTCAATGGATGCTGATGATATCGACCATTACCTTGAGTTTGTATTTAAATTGACATCGAATTCGCCTTGCAATTCGATAGTTGAGTGCTCTACATGATAAGATCTTCGTGGAAAGAAAATAAATTAATGTAGATCATTTGCAATTTACGATGCAATTACAATTAGTAATCTTTTGATGGCAATTTTTAACTTACCATGTTAGCAGAAAGAGCTCCTACTGTATTGAGTGTAACAATGGAGGTCATATTCATGCATCCAACTGCTAGAATCACATAATCAGTAAGGTTACTTCCAGTTCCTATGAAAATGCTGACAAACAGGGCAAAGTTGCCTGTACAAGAGACGACAAATATTCCATATCCAGTAACCATTCCCATTTCAACTACGTGTTGATGGACCAAATTGTAGATGCGATTTTGTTGAGTCAAATATTTACTTATTTGCGCTTCTGAACAGCCCTGATCAAGTATTGATTCACCATAGGAATAAAGCGATTTCAGTGAGTGAATGACAAAAACAACGATCAGTGTGTTATGAATAAATGACCAGACTGTTGCATATGCACCATAAATAAAAACGATTGCTGTAATTAACGTCCACAAACCAGTAATAATTGCATTAAATAAACTTTCTTGGTTAACTGGATTGGTCAAGTAGATCAATAATAACCAAACTGGAATGGCAATGCTAACTGCGGGTGAATCAATTTTGTAGAATTGACCAAATAAATAGATGAATTTTCGTATCTGAGTACAATCATGTTGACTCAACATGAGCTCGTCATATTCAAATTGCGTTTCTCGTAGCTTGTGGTAAACCCTCAATATTTTGTATCTATTTAACCTTTCCTTTTCAAAGCCAACGTGCTTTACACCAGATGAAAGCAAAAATATCATGGTTAAAAGCATGTTTTGAATATCATGACCAGGCAAACCAAAAAATATGTCACCCAATAGTATTCCAATGAACTTGTTGGAAATGAAAGTAGTGAGAAATGTCTTCAAAGTGATTACCAATCCAACCAAAGCTAATATCCAATTGACAAATATTTTCCTTCTAGTTACTGAACTTTTCTGTTGATAACCACGAAGTGTACATAACCAACGATTACCCGAGTCCTCCAACTCGTCGAGTAGTTCAACCGCTAGTTTTACTTTTGATTTACGCGTTAACCACAATTCAATTGACTTGAAACCAAATGACTTACAAAGGCTATTTGAATCCCTGTCTAGATTGTCTGACTCCATATCCAAATAGGACATCAAAAACAAACGCATTGAACAACAATTGCATGAAAATTTAAATAACATTTCCCTGAAATTCATCATTTATTGGCAAATGTCTAAAAAATATAAAGATATCGAATAGATCTCGAGATAAACTTGAATGATTGATTAACTCGGAAGAGCAATAAATTGATTTATTTTGCTAAACATTGAAATATTGAAAACATAAATCTTGCCTTATGATGTAAATACTAGCACAATGTAGCTGCTTCTTTACAAAAATCAATTGACATAATTTTAAAATCGATGTCTTATTACAATGTTGAACAAATAATCCTTGATCAAGTCTGGCTGATAAAGTTTACTGAACACATTCGTCGATTTAATATCCAATGTAATTGTACTTGTAATTGTTCATTTTAAATCAATATGAATGTAATTTGTAATCGTAAAAGCTTTGCTGCAATTTAACAGAAACTTGAAGACAATTAAAGTCTTACAATGAAACTGTTTTTCTACCATTATTAATAATTCATAATTCAATTTAGCCTTTAAATTTGCCAAATTGATCTGATAATTTGTTGAAAAAAAAGTACAAAAATATTACCAATTCTGATTATTTTCACATTTTCTCATTACTCTTCAATCATTGTTGAATTTATTAAGGATTGTCTTGATTATCATGATTAACACTATTATCGTTATTATTGTACTTTTATAAATACACTAATAATAAATCCTAACCAAACCTATCGTTGAATCTATCACAACCTTACCTTATTTTGTTGATTGTTTGCCAAACCTTCCCTTTATCCATCCATCTCTATGTTATTTAATTGTCCAATCAATCTGAATGAACCATATCAATTATACTCAACAATCTTGGAGAGGTTCAATTGTTGATTAAGCTTGTACAAATTTTCAGTTCTAATGTAATCCAATTCAGCAATTTTCCCGAATCAACCGTTATTTCAGTTTAAACATTTTCTCAATCTTTTTTTCCTAAATTTCTGTTTTAATTGTTGTCAAGTTATCAACCTTATGAATATGGACTTGTAAATTTGAATATTTTTATGTTGGTTCATAAGTCAACTTGTGTTGGAAGGTTGTTAACCTGAAATGTTATTTACTTGTAACTTAATTAATCAAGAGTCCCTTTTTTTCAGGATAACCCATTAATTATTTATACAATAGCACTAGATTAACAAGTTAACTTCTCATTAATCACCTATTAACGTATCTTAATTTAATCATTTATTCTGAAAATTTTGTCCGCTCTTTCCATTGTTTCAAATCGTTATTTTTGACTCTTCGTTAACAATGAATCTAATTAAAAGCAAATATGCATATTCTCATAGATGATTCCATTAATTATGCAAATAATTCTCATATTGAATTGTTGATTTTCACCTTATTAATAGTTGATTGTTTTGTGCTCAAGTTGTCAATTTAATCAGATCAAGTAATGTTCAAGTCAACTGGTTTTCATTGATTTTACATTTACAAATGTAAATGTCCTTTGCTGTCAGTCTTTTGAAGTTTGATTGTTTCATCTTTAAGTTGTCGTCTTTAATATTTGATGAGCTTGTGCTAATGCTGATATGAATTAGTAATTTGTCAATTGAGTTGAAAGCTCCAGAAAATGGTTAATTAACAGTGAATACTGATAAGGTTTGGATAATCAAATTGAGTTAAAATGGTTTAAAAAAAAGATGATCAAAACTTGACGCTGATTGAGAAGCAATCGCGCTTGAAGTGTTTGATACCTCTGCATAGTTGATTTATTATGATCACCATTCAATTTTATCAATCAAGCAAGGCTCAGTTAATCGTTGAATAGATGAAAAGTGCAAAAGACTAAGAGTTTAATATAATCAGTTAGATTGATTGGTCAAGTGGTCATCGCCTGATTGTTTTGACTGAATCAAAAATCTCATTTGATGAGATGCCAGGGATTAGGAAACGGGAAACAATTGCTTTAATCTTATTCTGATTATGGTTAAGTGACAATAGTTGATGTTGATCTGATGCTAAATCTATTGGAAATTTTGTATTTGATATCAAAAATCTAATCTTATTCTCTTTTTTCCCTTTAGTTCTTTTTTCCGGTTCTGCATGTTTAAGCTGGTTCCTTCAATTCAAAAACAAATTGAGTCGAAATGTTCTTACCCAGGAAGAGATAAACGATGGTTGGAGCTCTGAGAATCGATCAAAATTGGGTTACAGTTATTATCTGGTTCTCTGTGCCATGGGATTATTTTTCCTCAACAAGTTTATCGTTTTTATCGCAGTAAAAAGGCCGCTTTTCCGTGGTAAAACCAGACTATCGAATGACAAGAACCCTGAAGGAGTCATTATGCTTTATTGAAATTACCCGTCAAAATGAATATTTGGATGGAAACAGAATCTGAATGGAGCAAAATACAAAATTAAATAACCACTAAATCCAAATGGACTGATTCCAATGGATTAACGTGTTAATAAGATTACTTTAATACATTTATTCAAGCTTTAAATACCAATTGAATTGGTACCAATAGTTGAAGGAAATGAATCTCATTTGAATAATTGATTGAAATTAATCGTTATTCTCTTAATTCTACAATTTTTGGACAATTCCATTTACCCTAAAGATTGGACCATTTTTTACTCAAGAAGGATCATCATTTATCATTTCATCGATTAATTGTTATTTCCAAATTGATATTTCAATCAATAGGGAAATGCAAGAATCTCATCAGTCTCTTTCATACACAATTGACTTCATTTTCATCGTTTCGCACCAATTTAGTTGCCAAATTTTTTCGTAAATCATGTTGTTTATCATGACTTTTCAGCTGTAATCAAAATGTAATTAATTTTTCTTTACGATCATGAAAATAAAAAGGCTTAAACTCACTGCTAAGCCATAATTATCTTCAAGAAAATCAATTTAGTCAATTACAATGTTTACCTGATCAATAATTAACTTTATGATTCTGTATTGAATGAATCAAATCTATAAAAATGAGTAAATTTTACAAAGTTATTCTCGATTCATTTTGATACTTTATTTAAATAAAGACGAATTAAACTTGAATCTCTTTGAAATTTGTAAACCATTTTTGTTTCAATTTGAAATGAAAACAAAAAATTGAACTAAAGAGACAATTAAGCAAATCAATTTGCCAATCAACTACAGTTTCTTTTGTTGAATAAATATAATTATAATAATAATAGTAAAAAGATTGAGGTTTTGTTTGGAAAAAAAATTGCAAAGGTTTTGTAAATAATCAGAATTGTAGGTTGACTACAAAATTTTCAAAAAGGGATTTTGTTTGGATATTAATTTTTGATTTTCTGGAAAACATCATCGATTGGAAGCTTTTTTCATCTCATTGAAGTTAAGAAAATTATGGTTTCTCTGGTTTCTCTCATTGTTTGCATAAATGCTACTTTATCATGATCACATTGCACTGAAATTCCAATGAAAAATGAATCCAATCGTTAACATGGAAGATGGCTTTTGGCTTTTAGTCCTTGTCCACTTTAATTCCTGTTCATTTGATTCGTTGCAACAGCCAACAAGTAAATAAGTTAAAGAAAGATTCCTTTCTGTGCGTAAATCCTTTCTCGAGAATATCTTTCAATGGTAATTAATAATATAATTAATGGTAATGAATAAGTATCAATGGAAAGTGTATTTTTAAAGGTTGATAGGAAAGTTTTGGTTTGGCTCTGTAAAAGTTCATTTTTGATATGAAAAAGGAAATCTATTTCATCTAAGATTAGGAAGAAACTGAGCTGGAAGATGAAAGGAATCGGAAATTTTCTTCTTTGTTCCAACGAGTAAAAAGAAATTAAGATTTTGTAATTAGTGAGCAACAATGATGATGAAGTTGATGGAATGAGGAAAAAACAATCGAATAGATGGTTACAATTGATGTATTTTTGATTTTGTGTATTGAGATGGAATTTCGTTGAGTTTTTTTAATGAACATTGAATTTTGATCTTCATCCTTTACATAGTCCAAATGAATCCGAAAGGCTTAAATGACGGCCATTTCAAAAGGTGATAGTAAATGTAATAAATAGTTGCTATTAAACCAGATCACCAGAAGTAAATGCACGTAGAGATCATAATGAAACATCTGCTTAATTTTAATGATTACTCTTAGGCTTTACCAATCTTGTGCTGATTAACACTGAGTGCACTTATTGCAGTGGTTAATGATCGAAGATGGCGTTTATTGATTATCCCACAATTTATAAGATCATCTTCTCTCAATGACATCATATCCCAGAGACTTTTGAAACCATTATCTAAAAGTTTAGTCTCATACATTGGTAACCCTAAAGATAAAAGCCAATTATGTATATTCTCATAATTTGCCAAATCAGTTCCAGGTACGTTACATGAATCTGCTAAAAAATCATTAGGAATCTGTAAGAAAGGGCAAAAAAGAAGAGATTAGTTTCAAATTATTGAATAAAATGATTGACGCCGTTGTAATTGATTATGAATAGGCATCAATTTTAAAAGAAAAAATTAGAAAAAATATTTTCTTTTTCTATTGATGGATAATAATAAAATTAATAGACAAAAGTACGTACTCCTTGTCTTCCTGCTTTGTTTAAAAGTGAACATAGTCTAATGTAATCCAATGTTTCCGCAATATCATAAATATCCGTTTCAAGTTCTTCCGCATAGCGTTGAACCAGAGCAGGGGGTATACCGCAGAAACCAGACTAAATAAAGATAAAAAAGAAGGTTATTAGATTAGTTATAGTCAATCAAAATTATTAATGTAATTGATTGAAAATTGATCAACAGAAAAATGACGAAGAGCGTGAAAATGGTTTAAAAATGGTTTACACTTTTCTGTAGCCATCAATAGCAATCGTAAACTTACAGCATCTGAATAGGGTTCAGTGGTTAGATCAATAGTTTCTTCAGTCAACATGTTTGATAGAGTATCTAAAAGAGCTGTCGATAAAGGTCTAGAGGTAACACCTAAACGACGATCTTCAAATGATATAGTTGAAATGGCTTTACGATCAGATGGGTTGAGCAATTTTTTTAATCTTTTCTTGGTAAAATGTCCACCATGGACATTTGTTTCTTCCAGATTGGCATTCTCATTGTACTTGAGGTCAAAAACGCTTTTTGAACTTGATAACATTTTGTTTGATGAAATATCACCATAATGAGAGGTTCGAGTTTCATAGCCATGTTCAAGTTTTTTAACCAAAGCATTTGTATCCAGCGATTTACGATGGTCAAATGAACTAAATCTACATTTTGAATAAAGATCATCGTCCAAAATATCATTACCCGATGCAGCTCGTTTAATATTATCACTCGTCTCGGAGGAACGACGATCTCTCTTCTTACGTAGTCGTAAGGCACTACTAGGGTTACCATCATTAGAAGGGACTGCAATGGTTGTAGCATAATTTTTAACCTCTTTTAATGGTCCTGATGAAGTGTTACATTTAACGCTTTCATCAAAATTATTTGGCTCTTGACTAGATGAGGATTGCTTTTCTTTTCCATTGGAAGATGTATTTAAAACAAAGGACAACGTTTTCTGGAAACTCTCAAAGGCTGGAGTTGTTGGTGCTGATTGTGCCATGGGTCGATCAGCATCTACCGACATGGAAGCCAAATTGGTTTCCAATCTGTTGATTTCAATTGCTTTAGATTGTGTCTGGTTATCGGGTATAGAGTGAGCAAGTTTACGAACAATTGATGCAATGGAAAGGATTGTTTGCTGATGATCAGGACAAGTAATTCCAACTATTTCAAGTATAGATGGATCTGTTATGTTCATCAGTGAACCAAGCGAAGAGAATCCTTTTTCTCGCAATTTAGTCAGATAATCATATCCATCCAAACCAATCAGTTTAAATAATCCTTTTAAGCTATTATCAAGATAAATGTTAACAGATGAAAGTAAATTGCGAATAATGTCTTCATAATGATTGGATAAAAATGCAGATGATGAGCTAAAATTGTTGATTGTGGTCGTTGAAGATGCAGATGATCCAGTGGTGAGGGAAACACCTTCAGAGACGTCAAGAGTATTATTAACATTTGAACCTTTATCTCCTTCAATAGCACCGTTTGAAGAGGTTAACGTCGTGGAAGAGGCCGAACAGAATGAAGAATATGTGGGTCGCATTCCATTGCTCAAACTTGAGATTTCCTCGACATTGATGAACTTAAAATGTCCAATCTTTCCATTGGCCATTCCAATCCAGGTTCCACTGTCATTTTTGGCAATGATATTAACCAAATCACCTTTCTAAGGGTAAGAAGAATGGGGAAAAATATAAATTATTATGTTTAGTTAATCTCAGATGACTCAGAATGGTTAAAGGATAAAAAGAGAAAGAAAAGATGAGATTGAAAAGATTAGAATCGTAAGCTAAATCTGGATTAAAGATGAGTTTATTGGGAATTTAATTACTAATGGAACAACTTTTTCCCTTTCAAAACTCAACTCTCCTAATTTATGCAATTCAAACCTGCAGGGTAATCAATTTATAGCAAAAATTAGGCTATCGATTGAATAAATTAAACAATTTTCAATGAATGAAAAAGATTAATTGTTGTTAAACTATGTTTCTATTGGGAAAAGAAGATGGATAAAGAAGAGAGTGAAATAGAATCTCTTTCAGGTCATATTTATCTACTCAGAGGAGAAGGTAGGAAAATGAACTTTTACTTTTTTGTCCGCTCAACGTTGAATGTTGTTATTGTGATAGAAATGAAATCTTGAATGCCGCTAAATTAAGCCTCAACTATACCTAAATAGCTACACAAGTAAAAAGTAAACAAACTGGAAAACATGTTTTTCTTTAAAAATGAAAATAAAAACAGGAAAAGCAAGAAGAGTGAGATTCGGAGAAAAGGAAACCATGATAATAATAGCAACTTACCTTGAAAACAAGAGCATCCTTATCATAAGGACAGGGAGTACAATCAGCGAGAGCAATACCTTGTCCGATGAATGGTCCTTTGAAAACGGAATATTCATTGGAGAAATCGTTTACGGTGCAAATTGAGCTTCGATTGCTATCAGTTGAAAAGGAACTTGTTTTGACACCTGAAAAGGTAAAGATGAAGCAAAAATGAAAAAGCAAAAGGTATTAGAATAAACGGGAAAAGATTAAAGATTCATCAAAAGTTGATTGTTGTAGTTGAATCTAAAATTGGTGTAAACTGATTAGATTCAATGATAATAATAATAGTAAATATAATAAGCAAAAGAAAAGGCATTTCAAAATGATGAGAATAGGCAAGAAAAAGGTGAGATTATAGCTGAATTGATGGATGATTCAGATAAAGATTTTGATGATGGGTGAAAAGGTAAAAGTGAAAAAATGATTACTGATTGTCTATTCCTAGTAAATGTTACAATAAGTGTTTCAACAAATGAAATTGAAATCTTATTCTGGAAAGATTATAATTTAGAGTTGATAGTTATTTTAAAATGAAAAAGGATTCACAATTAGATTTATAATTAGCAAGAAAATATGAGCTTCGTTAATGATGAAAGTTAACCAATGATTAAATAACAAGGGATAATTGTGATTCTTGTTTTGATTGGAAATGAATGTTGTTGATTGAAATGGAAAACAATTTAAACGTTTGAGGTTGTTTACCTTTCCTTTAGAAATCAATTTTATCAATCAAAATATGATGCTTAATGAGCGCTTATTACAGGTTAACTGGGCTTTGCAAATTTTTTGAGGAACCAAATGCACTTTAAACAGTGAGGTTTTGTTTACCTTTTTTTGCTCAATTTTATCTCATTTGCTGATCATCTTCTTATCTTCTTGAAACCGTAGAGGGAGAAGCGTTGGCGGCAGAAGCTTCAATCAATCTTGCAAGAAAATCTGACCTGAGTTTTCAACGCAAATCAAACTTGATTACCAATTATAAAAGGCAAGTTTTGGTAAAGATAAAAATGAATATCTGAGTTGTCATATAAGAAGGGAAAAAAGATGAGATGAGAAGCTAATGTAAAGTATTGAGAAGAGAAAAGGACAGGAAATGGTCAACATTTCCGCATCAAAATTGAATACATTCATCGTGGGTTTCATTGAAAGGGTTGGGTCATGGAAATTGGTAAAATAATTTGAAATCTTTTCTCTCGAAATTAGCTATTCTTGAAACAAGAGCAAGGTTAGAGGTTAATGGAGCTAAATGTAAATTTACAATCGAGTAGAGTTGAAATTTCATGCAATCAAGACGGAAGATGAATGAATTTGATGAAAATACAAGTCACTTTTTTGCGTGTCTTCAACGTTTACTTTTACTCATAATTTCATCTCAATCATCTACTCATTTAGAGATGGAAAAAAAGAGATGAAATTAAAATTCATTTATCACATGAATATTTAAGTTTAGTGCAAAAAAAAGTGAAACACTTTTCATCAATGAGATGCTTTGATTTGACAAATTCATAAATTTGGAGGAGGAGGAGGGAAATGAGATGAAACATTTTGAATCATTAGTAAAATGAGAGCAAAGGATTATCAATCAAGACGTTGTGCCTTTAAGAAATGTAACAAAAAATTGAGCATTCTGGGTTGATATTTTTCTTCTTTATATATTCATCTAATAATATTTAAGACGTTAATATTATTTAGAAAAATGAGAGAAAAAAATAAATTTTGTTTCACTAATGACAATCTTTTAACAGCTATTCATCCAATCCGTCAATCTTGTTTTTCAACTTGATTTGTATTAGCTTCTTGGATACTATTTCAGTAATCATCTCAGCTTTTAAATTTGTAATATTTAGGTCCGCCAAGATTGGGTTTACATTAAGTTACAACAAATTTAACAACATAAACAAAGCTTATAACAATCAACTTTAAAACCGAATCAACAACAAAAACAAAAAATTCAACAGCAATCAGACAACTTGCTGGCCGTTTGATCCCATTGATGGACCCAGTTCATCTTTCGTTTGAAACAGTAACACTAATAATCATGACAAGTGTATGATATTAATGAAAACAAATCATAATAATGATTATAATAAATAATAGTAATCATAATTAATTACTAATGAAAGGGAAAAAAGAACAAGAAAGGAACGATAATTTGTACCTGAATCACCCAGACGCCCATCATTATCATTTAAAGTATCAATTACTCGATGGAAGATGATTTACAAGAAATATTTAAAACATCTTTACTTCATTATTCCCTTAACCTTAAAGTTTAAATCTGACCAAAAGGGATATCAGGGAAAAAAAAGAAACTGATAACCCAATTCATGTTCAAGGTTTCTCTGTCTGAGCTTTGAAATGCCTCTTTTTTGGTGAAATTTCATCAAATTTTAAATTTTTCATCATCTATTTTTTATACCAATTCATCAACTGTCACCTTCGATTTGTGATTTTTTTGCTTCAAATTTCTAACATTAGCTATAAAATATTCATGATCATTTCCACGATAAACATTTTATAGCTAAACTATTCATTTTACTCGATTCAGAGGCTGGATTTTGTTTAGAAAAGGCAACAATCTTTAAAAATATTGTTGGTCTATTGTGAACTTACTGGAACCACAGCCTGATTCACTGGTTGGAAGACTTTCGTCGGAAGCATAACGCCTCAGTCTTGAAACTGTTGTTGACTGTAATGTTTCACAAGTTAAAGTTGATCTAGAATCAGATTCACAATTGGCTTTTAAATTGCTTGATGTTCGGGCTGAAGGAAGAACGGATTTACATGTGGTGGATGATGAACGTTTATCACTTGATTCCAAAGAGTTTGTATTGAATGATGAAAACCGCCTTTTTACATCTCTGTAAAGATCTTTGGTCTTTGAAACTAAATTTTCGGAATTGATGTAGTCATGTCCTCTAGAACCATGGCGAATTTGACTTTGAGATCTCTGATGTTGGAATTGGAAAATTTTTGCACAAGAAAAAAGAGAGTACAATGAGATTAGGGTTGATATGAAATGGAGAAAAATAAGAGAATCGAATTGGTACTTACGGCAAACCGACGTATTTTGTTTATTACTGTATTTGACTTGGCACGTTTCTCAGTATGCCTTTCATTGGCACCATTGGGTGAGGATGCAGTGGAAGATGATGAGGAACAATTGTTTAACAAAGATTCATAGTCATTTGAACAACCTGAGAAATGGTAGTCAGATATGGCTGCTGAACTCATGTTTAAAGGGTAAACAATATGCGAAGCAAAGATTATTGGTAAATGAAGCCTGCGGGGATAATTTTTCCGTTTTTAAACAGCTTAAGGAAGACGTTCGATTGATAAGCAGATACCAGACAGGATCAGATGGTTGACAAATGGAGAATATGGCAAAAATATTGGTTTAAAATCAGATATGGAATCCAAAGTCGCAATATCTCGGATACTTGATGGTTGACCTGTGTTGACAAAATAGTCAACACAATATAACGTTAACCATGTCAGTATTGATTTTGGTCACTTTAGTCAATTCCCCAGGTAATAGTTTGATTTGATAGAAGGTTGAAGCTAAAGCTGAAATTAACAATCGATTCCTGGAGCTTCACAGTGATAAACATTTACACATAACCAAAGGAATAATTAGTATTACATATTGTAAAAAGCTATCCATCAATGGAAACAAAATTTGTATAAATCTTTAGTCCAATTAATCCATCATAAACCAGGTTTGGAACGGTTGACAATAAGTGAAATTGCTTCAAGTAGATGATTGTTCAAT